ACTTCATGTATTTCATTTTATGAATTATTTCTGAAAGGTAAATAAATCTCTATATTGCACTGCCTCCCACCAACACTCTCACTATCCTTCTTCCTTACTTTCAGTGGTTGTTATCTTAGTTTATGACAGTCATACCATGTATTTTCTTATAATAGGCTTAACCATCCACTAGTTAACTAATTCAGCAAATATTAAGCAGTACACTGTTCCTCAAGAGCATAGCAAATCTCAAACATCAATTCCACTAATTTTTAAAAAAGATTTATTTATTTTTATTACAAAGTCAGATACACAGAGAGGAGAAACATAGAGAAAAATCTTCCATCCGATGATTCTTTCCCCAAGTGAGCGCAACAGCCAGAACTGTGCCGATCCAAAGCCAGGAGCCAGAAATTTCCTCCAGGTCCCCCACACGGCTGCAGGGTGCCAAGGCTTTGGGCCGTCCTTGACTGCTTTCCAGGGAACAAGCAGGGAGGTGGATGGGAAGTGGAGCTGCTAGGATTAGACCCAGCACCCTTATGGGATCCCAGCATGTTCAAAGTGAGGACTTTAGCCGCTAGGCCACTGTGCCGGGACCTCCACTAATTTTTTTAATACTCTATTAGTTACAGCAAAGCAAGGAAGACATGTTTATCCTTTGGGCACTGGTTGATTTCACTAAGCGTAATGCTTTCCAGTTGCATCTATTTCCTGTAAACAAGATTTCATTCTGGTTTTACGCCAATTTCACATTGTATATGTGTATGTTTTATTTATCCAATAATCAAGGATGAAAATCTGAGTCAACTCCAAAAGTTAATGACTTACCTATTGCAAAAAGTGCTTCTATGTGATTTTTTTAAATTTAAATTCCTGGGAGTGGAATAGATTGCTCACATGGTAGATTCATCGTCTTACTTCTGAGATCTTCATACTGTCTCCCGCTGTGCTAGCTTATGTCCCCAGCAATGGATTATGAAAACTTTTCTCCTCATCCACACAAGTATTTATTATTTATTCACATTGTGATGATAACCATTCTATCATTTATTTGTCATTTCCCTGATACTGACCCTGAGCATTTTTCCATGCCCCTGTTGGTCATTATCAGCTCACCCACTGATAAATCCCTCTTTATTTCTGTTATCCATTTCTTTTTTGGATTTTAGCTGTGCTGTTGTGGAGCTTATAAGCCCCTTTATAAGTCCTAAGTATTAAGCATGTATTCATTGCCTAACTGATGAGTATACTCTCCCATTCTCTAAGTTGCATTTTCACTTGTTGAATATTTGCTTTGAAAAGCAGAAACTTCTGTTTCCCATAACTATCTTTCCACTTCCAAAGCCTGTGCTTCTGGGATCTTTTCCATGCAGACATTTCCTATTCCAGTGGCAACACAGATTGTCTGATGTTTTCCTCTAATAATTAGTTGCATAAAGACATAGATTTTATGCTTGATACATGTTGATTTTCATATAAGGTGTTTCAGACTATTGCATGTCATGGCCCAATTTTTTTTCAGAACATTTGTTGAAGAGATTATTCCCTAACCCAGGGATCAATGTTATCACATGTGTAAGAGCTTTGTTGGTCGTAGATGAGTGGATTGATTTCTCAAGTTTCTAGTCTGTTCCATTTGCTTGTGTACTTATTTTTGGCCACTATCAAATTGTTTTGAATATTACTATCGCAAGAGTGTCTTGAAGTATGGCATTGTGATTCTCTCTCTGCTTATTTTGTATATGTTGTTTTTGTTCTCTCCACTTCCTTTATATGTCTTCTCCTGTGAAACTAACTACACCAATGTTGTGTTTTTGACTTGCATTTTCTGATGGTTGGCAAGATCCTTTCGACTTCCTAACTGGAATGATTCCTTTGCTTTGTTGAGTTTAATGAATCGCTGATCTATTCTGAATAATATTCTCTGAATATTAATAGTTTTTCACGTAAGTAGCCTAATTCTGAACTTTTGGAGTTTTATAGTCGAAATGTTCACTTAACAGCAATGCCATGAAATGTGACCGGATGCTTTCTTCTGGCAATTTCATTAGTGCAGATCTTGCATTCCTGTCTGATTCATACAGATTTGACTTTTTCGTGTATGTTGAGAGGTAGGGATCTAATTAAAGTCTTCCACCTTTGTCCTTCCTCCTGGCACCTCTGAAGACAATCAGAGGGTTGTAGGATATGGACCAATTCCTTGGCTCATTATTCTGATCCACTGAACTATTTGTCAGATTTTGTTATAAACAAGCTGATTTAATGACCATCTTGTGTAAAATGCTGAACACAGTGAAGTGCATCTAGTTTGATTTCTCTTATACTACCATCTTTATGCTAAGCATTGTTTTGCCTCTTCCTGGTCTTTTATAATTTCAAGTGAATTTTAGGATAGTTCATCTTAGATATGTGGAAAACGGCATTGACATTCAGTAGAACATGCACTGAATCTTTGGATTGCTGTATATTGTATGGAAATTTCACTGATATTAATTCTTGTAATCTCTAAGAAATAAATATAGTGCCATTAAGATCCTGGAGTAGCTCTTTCATCCATGCTCTATGGTTTTTATTATATAAATTATTCAATTCATCCATCACATTCATTCTGAAATATTTTTGCTTTGTAAGTATATAAATGCATTTTTTTCTTCATTTTTTTCACAGAGATAACTATTCATGTATAAAAATGTTGCTGGGGGCTGATGCTGAGGCATAATAGGCTAATTCTCCATCCTGTGGCACCAGGATCCCATTTTGGCAACAATTGTGTTGGCTGTTCCACTCTGATCCAAGTTCTCTACAATGACCTGGGAAACTAGCAAGTCTATGGAACCCTGAACCCATTTAGGAGACCCAGAGGAGGAGGCTCCTGGCTCTTGGCTTCAAATCAGCTCAGCTCTGCCCATTGCAGACATTTGGGGAAAGAGTCAGCAGATGAAAAACCATCTTTACCTCTTCATTCAAAACAGAAATAAAGACAAACTAGCTAAAAATGTTATTGAATTTATACCCTGAAAGTTCACTGGATTGGCTTATGGTTTCTGATGAATTATGCAAGTTTTCCCATAAAAGTCTCAATATTTAACTATAGACATTTTGACTTCTCACTCTCTTACTACGGAATTGAGCTTTAATATTGCTTAGCTCATTATGTGTCAGCCTTGTTATTAGTAAGCATTTTCTTAAAATTTAAAGTTGTAGTCTTACATATTGTCTTCCTTTTCCATTACTCTTTAAATATTGCAGCAAAAATGCTTGTTTTGCATTTATTAATCAACTTGGATGTTCTTCATGTGGAATATTTAACTTAATTTTCCCTTTGACACATTTCCATCAATTTTAATAGGATCCTTAGAATTTTTAAGGTTGGGCTTATTTTCTGTAATGTCTGATGTTTACTGACAATAATGCTATATTTTTCTTTTTCACTAGAATATTGAAGAACCTTGTTTATATTCTAAATCATAGCTTCAAAAAGTTATACTACTTCTGAAATGATCTTTTTTTTTGCTTATTCGTTTGTAAGATCAAGCTGAAAGCAGTGAGGGAGTCAGAGATTTTTCACCCACTAATTTATTCTCAAAATGGCAGTTCCCAGTCAGGTTGGCTTCAGCCAGGAGCCTAGAATAGCGCTGTGGCCCAGTACACACGTAGCAGGTGCCCAAGCACCTGGGACACTACATTCTGCCTTACCAGGGACCTGGATCTGAAGTGGAATAACCAGGGCTTGTACCTGCTGTGTCAACATCCTGAGTGGTGCATTAGCCAGCCTCTATAAAACTGGCCCCTGTCTTATTGCTCAATAGCTTGGATCGTGATGAGTTGAATCAGTAGATAGATATCCAACCATATGTACTTGTTGCTGTCTTAGTATTTTAATCTTCACGGATACTGATTTTTTTTTTTTGCATATCAGCTTATTTTACACACATACTCTGAAGTTTTATTTCAGGGTCAGAAAGTGGGGCTGTAAACAGATCACGCAGAATATCAATCTCACCTTCATGTCTTGTTTTTCACTGACATCACAGCAGTCCTCTTAAACTTTTGTCTGTTGTTAAATTTAGCCCTCTCCTTTCTAGGAAACCTAGTGTTCTAATCAGAACTGCTACATCTTATAAAAGGAATGTCAAACACACTCAGAAAGTAACCAGGAAAAAAAAATCTCAAATGATCACATTATCGTGTCACTAAATTGAAAGAAGTTAGACATTTGTGTTGACACACTGGCACTGATGAGAAGACTGAATGAAGCAGGTGAAATCTTACAGGAGAGGCAGCCTAATAATTTGTCAGTGAAAATAAAATACAAGAGATTTTTTTTACAATTTCTGACCATTCATTTTTTTAATGAATTTGCCATTCATTCTACATATGTAGATGAAAAAGGCTTATGAAACTCTATCTACATGTCAGATATTCTTAACATATATGATGCTGTATTAGTTAAACCAAAAACCGTAAACACCAATACATGGTCATTAAATGTGTATCTCGACATATTCACTTAATTTCAATTTGCTGGATTTAGAATACACAGTGCTTATTTACTTTATTCACAATATCTATGTTAGCTTCTTTGACAAGCTACACCCTTTCCTGCTTCATTCTGATTGAAAATGGCGCTACCATTTACGAAGCACACATGGACACATGAACATATGCTCTTTCGTAACGCTTTTTTAAAACTACAACTGAAGTTTATTTTAGCATGAGCTCATGAGCTCACTTACGTGAGAATGCATATGCAAATATACATGTCTTACAGAACACTGAGTTGTGAAATACTTAGGGTACTCTGTGTTCTAGAAATTTGGGGCATATTTTTCTGTGTTCATTAAAGCAGTCACATTGTGTTTGCAGTTACAGAGAAAAAAAGATTCAAACTTTGCTCTTCCTAAGACCAACTGCATAGCCCCATAACTTAGAATTTAAGCGAGATTTCATAGGGGATTTGTACAATTGATTACTACTGCACAGTTCAGTAAAATTAAAATACCACAAAATTTTAAATTTACATGTCTTTCTGAAACATGAGCACCGTTGGTGTTTGCTCCAATCTTCTCTGGCACTGTTAGGTGTAGAAATGTCATTTCAGAACCTGCAGTAAAGGAAAACCCATTAGCATCTCCCAGGTGGAAGTAACTTTCTCTTTCTTTGCTATTCCTCTCATTTCCTTTCCTTCTGTGAACACCCTAGCCCAAGCCTACACACACACACACACACACACACACACACACACACACACACACACACACACACACATCGTCTGATTGCAGGCAAAGCCTCCCTAAAGAGAAAGAGAAATGACTCTTCCACTGTCCACAGAAATTTGGGGGCTTGTTGATCTCAATCCTAAATGGGGAAGAGTGTAGCTCCAACCCCAACCATATTCTCTCTTCTTTCCTATTCCCATACAATGCTCATTTGAGGGGTGGGGTCAGGAAAGGGAGGGGCATCTGACCTCTATGTAACCAACCACCAAACACAGCAAGAGCCCAGCCCCGGCTCTGAGGTCCTGGAAACTGGCTCTGACCAGACTCCCACACCTGTCCTGCGCTTGAGGAGCCGGGAGGCAGGAAGGCAGGGAACATTCTCTGCAAGTTTCTCCACTTACTTTGGGCCAAGGAAGTTGCAAGGCTCAGGCCTGCGAGGATGAACAAGAGATTCAGCATTGTGCGGCAAACTGGCAAGCGTACATTTCTGGCCGTTAGGAATGGAATCAGCTCGTGGACAGACCGCTGGCTCTCTGGGCTCGCGTGAAGTCTGTTAAGCAGAAAGCGTGGGGTTGCAGAGCAGAGCAAAAAGGAGGGTTCCACTGTTGTGCCCAGGCGATCTGCAGCTCTGGGGATGCCCGAGGCCAGCAGGTCCAAGCAGCACACAGCTCGGCTCTCTGCTATTGGAGAAGCATCCAGGAATTCCCTGCAGCTCACGGGCGCTTGAATTTGCGGAGTGCGATCCTCCACACTAAAGGCTTTCCAGAGTCACAGGACACATAAAGCCCACTGACTTTACAGGACACTTGTTTCCTTACGCCAGACATTTCCAGGACAATGGATGAATCGCAGGAACGAAAGCAAGAAAGAAAACAAACAGCGCAGAAGGTTAGCAGCCCCAGTTACCTGGTTTCATCATTTCTACTGCTGGCTTTCTGCTTCTGTATCTAGGTTTAGCAAACCAAAATCACCAAGGAGAAAAAGTTCCATCTACTATCAAAAATGCTATTTTTTACTTGTATCAATCCAAGAAGAAAGCCAAATATATAAAGTATGTAGATGTTTTATTTTGTCTGGGTTTGTCAATATAAAAAAATGAAGAATCTTTGCTACTCTAGATTGTGCTGCTCTAAACACAGGATTACAGAACACTTTCTCATATGCAGATTTCATTTCCTCTGGAAATATTTCCAGAAACAGGAGAGCTGGTTTATATGGCAGATAAATTTTCAGTTTTCTTAGCACTCTCCACACTGACTTCAACAATGGGTGCACTCGCCAACATTCCCACTGAGACGGAAGGAGGGTAGCTTTTTTCTCACAAACAGGCCAGCAGATGTGGAGTTCTGAATGTAGGCCGATCTCAATGCATGTAGGTGGATCCAAATGTGGTTATCATTTGTCTTTTTGATGGCTAGGGAGCCTAAGCGTTTTTTCATATGCTTATTAACCATTTGAATTTGTTCTTCTGAAAAATGCCTGTTCATTTCCTTTTCCCATTTCTTCACATGGTTATTTGTTGTGCTGTTAAGTTTCTGAAACTCGAAACAGACATGGAAACAACGTAGATGCTCATCCAAAGCAGTGATACAGCTACTCCGCGGAATATTACTTAGCCATTAAACAGATAAAATTCTACCACTGGCAACCAAATGGTCCTGTTAGAGTCTGGGCTAAAGCTCCCCCCGCCCGGACGTCAGGGTGCAAGCTAGTGAACCCCCAGAGAATGACAAAGAGTCTCGTTGGTGATGCAAACAGCAAACAGAGTTTATTGTGTCAGCATGCTGGGGCCAGACCGCACTTGGGGCACACACGCCAGCCAAGCAGGGTGGTCGGACCCCAAACAGCCCAAGACAAAAGAAACTTATTTAGGCCCTTTAGACTGGGAAATACATCAAAAGTAAGAACCTTGGGCATGTTCATTTTTATGGCGTTCAGGCACAGGCAGCCTGTTCTGTTCCCATACCCACTATCATCCCATTCTCACACCCTTATCTTCCTCCTGTTCCTGGGACCGGAGAAGAACTGCGTCCTTGACCCCCTGCACCTGGGTCCACAATGTTGCAAGGGTGCAAAGAACAGATTTATCGCTAAAGCGAAATCCTCCCAAAGTCATGGTGCCTCCTGGCCTGGCAAAGTAGCAGCTTCGTCGGCACAAGGGAATCTCACACTGCCCAACGAAAACATTCTGTTTTAGCATTCTAATATACTCTCATAGCATTTACCTATACTCCAACAGTAGAAATTATTTCAAATGTGCTAGTTGATGTAATTTTATTCTAAATGTAATTAGAATCCTTGAATATTATACCTAGAACAAGTATAATAAAACTCTGGTGCAGATTGACCAGAGAAGTACACAGTGCTGGGTTCCCGAAGTTTTCTTTTTGCTGCATAAATCCCATATTTAGAACCAAGAAAGCTGGATATCTAGAAATGCCAATGGACAGAGCCAAAATACTGAAAGAGTAGGAAAGATGCAATTTACCAAGCCCCAAACCGTTCAGACAAAAGCTGTTCTATTTCTCTACTTTAGCCAAAACCAAAGGAATAATAAATAAATAAAAAACTCGTCACCGCAACAACAACGCACCCCAGCAGAGACTGAAAGGGAGTCTGGGTTCCTACTTTGCAGTCTGTAGCCAGGCTCCCCGGTGACCTCTCCACGTGGTGTCAGAGGTTAAATGGCAAGGACTATTTTCAGTCTTTCTAAGTGATGACAACATTCCCTACACTGATGTCAGTGGGGAACATACGGAGAGGTTGGACTTCATGTCCACCTGGCAGCAGTAGAGTAACAACCGTTCTACTGCAATGTGTCCGAGCAGGCCTGCGGGGGAGGCAGACACCAGTCTCCACCCAGTGCTTGCAAACAGCACTACCGGCAAAACGTCAATGAAAACTGCCTAGGTAGTTGTCCTTCTACCTCTGAACTAACAAAGTGGTTCCCCTCCTTTAGCTGCGAGAGTAGACTCCGAAAAAGTAATGGGTACCACAGTACCCGGGGGGTTTATAATGCCTGAATGCCCAGGTTTCAAGCAGAAATAACTTACTGTTATCAACGGAAATCTGAATGATCATAAACCAGTGCTACTGCCGAGCTGACAGAACTGTTGAAATCACTCAATGAGAAGTTACAAGCAGCCATCATGAAAATGCCTTCACACACAATCATACCAGTGCTTGAAGAAAGTCAGCCTTGAAATTAGCCTTGTGACTATTCAGTTTCAAGAAATACAAGAGCTAATAAATATTTTAGAACCTTACAGTACCCAAAATATAAAATGTAATAAGTATGTTCTACACCAGAGTAGAAGAAAATTAAGAATTTGAAATATTGAGGTTAAAATAATACATTTCTCAATCTGAACAAAAGAATAAAAACTGAGTGGAAAAAAAGTACGTGGATAGAGATTAGACCATTGGGACTACAAAACAAACAAACAACTACAGCTTTTGTCAGTTGCTTCGAGGAAAGAAGATGTAAGCTGGTAGAACTAGAAAAATACTCCAAAAACATGAACTCCTCCCGACTATGTCCTCAGCACATCCGTGTGTGTGTGGTATGGTATGTGATGTGTGTGTGCGTGTGGTATGTATTGTGTGGTGCGTATGTGGCATTGTGGTGTGTGTAAGGTGTGTGTGGTGTGTATAGGGAGTGAGTATGTGGTGTGTGTAATGAGCATGTGTGCTGTGGTGTGTGGTATGGTGCTGTGTAGGGTGTGTGTGGTGTGTGTGGTGTGTGTAGGGCATGTGTGTGGGCTGTAGAGTGTGTGTCGTGTGTTGTGTGTGTGGCATGTATGGTGTGCATTTGGTGTGTGTAGAGTGTGTGTCTGTACATAGGATGTGTATAGGGTGTTTGTGGTGTGTGTAGGCTGTATGTGTGGTATGGTGTGTGGGGTGTGTGTAGTGTGTGCTGGTGGAATATTGTGTCTGTTCAGCAAGCAAGGACCAGCGCCTACTCTCAATCAACCTTTCCTAGTAAAGGAAGTGACGTATCTCACTTGTCCTAGCCCCTTAGTCAACAGTTTGAAATGCTGCCAGGAGAACTTGTTCCAACAAGGTTCCTGTTCGGCGGCTGTTTCTTTGTTGATGTGTTGATCATGCTCCTTACAGGGCTGCTTTCCTTTAGTCTTGCCTGGACAGACAAACATGAGTTTGTTTTGTTCCTTGCTGAATTACACCAATTTCTCTGCCCACCCGTTTAGGATTCTCCTGTTCTTCAATTATCGGTACATGTCTTGGTAAATTATAGAGCTCTCTGGTTGCCACCGTCCTAAAATGTATAACGGTCTGTGACATCTTGCTCTACTTCCCAACATGTAAATCGTGTTTAGGGTAGAACTGTTGGCAACTGTTCTGTGATTCGCAGAAACATACATGTCTTTTAGCTAAGCATTATGGGTACTATGCATCGTGTTCTTGTCTAGGCTCAACGTTTTCCTGAGACTCCGAGGGCTTACAACACTCAGGTAAAGTGTCATTGTGTAAGGACTAATGCTGTGGTATTCCAGGCTAATCTTATAACCTCACTTTTTCTGGGTTGCTAGGGTTTCTGCCAAGAAATATGCTATGCATCTCAATTTTTCCTTTGCTGAAACCTGGTAATTTTTTCTTACCATCTTAAACAGCCCTCCCTGTCCCTATATGTGACAATTTGACTACTCTATCCCTACATAAGTTATTTTTTTTTAAGTTATTTATTTTTATTGTTTTATTTATTTTAAAATTTTTATTACATGGGTGCATGGGCCCAAGGCTTTGGGCTGTCCTCGGATGCTTTTCTAGGCCACAAGCAGGGAGCTGGATGGGAAGCAGGGCTGTTGGCATTAGAACCAGTGCCATATGGGATCCTGGCACATGCGAGGCGAGGCCTTTGGCCACTAGGCTACTGTGCTGGACCCTACATGATTTGTTTTGTTTTCTTTTGTTTCTTTTCCTTTGTGGGGTCCTTTGAAGATCTAGGGGAGCTTCCAAAGATGATTTCATGTAGCATATTTTTATGGGATTTTTCTTTTTCTTTTCTGGTAGGAAGCCCTATAATGCAATAACTTATTTGATTATTCACATAGAGTTTCTTCATCCCCTTTCATTCCTTTCTCTTTTTTCTTCTTTAATCATGGTAGTAAAGTAGGATTTAATTCTGGAATATATTTTTGTAATTTTCATCTCCACAATTTTCAAGTGCCCATTTGGAAATGTTTTTAAGTGCCCTGGAATTCCATGGAGATGATTATCAAAGAAGATTTACAGGGGGGCTGGGGGAGTGGAGGAGGAGGGATAGGGGAGGTTGAAAGGGGAAATCCCCGAGTCTACAGAACTCTATCATGAAAAGTAAGAAAATAAACAAAGTCAAAGAATTTTTCCAGAATTCCCTACATGTCAAAAAGCGTTTTAACACAAAGTTTGTTAAATGCAGAAGAGCCTGCAAATGTTAAATCCATTTGCAGTCATGTGATGGTTAAAATGCATGTGTGCCTGCTAAGATAGTCTGCCTTCATATTTATTATCTTGAAAAACTGGAGTAGACATTCCCTTGAGTCACCAGCCTCTGTGCTAGATTCATTTACCGTGCACACAGCTTTCACATAGTCCGAGTTAAAATGCAGTTCTTTGTGCACAAGGATGTAGGTATGCTGTGCAAGGGTATGGGAGTGTTATCTCTGCATTGTAACTTACAATCATGATACAGGGCATTAGCATGACCTCAGTTCATTACAATACATGTTTAGATCCCTGTGTTACTGTCAGTGAGCTACTAGGTTAACTTGTGCTACAGAAATTCCGAGCGTTTTTCCTGAATATGGATTTTAAGTTGTTACATATTTTCCCATGTTACTTGAAAAATAAAACAGACATTTGCTTTACAAAACACACAATATTTCAAAAGGGAAATATGTGTGGATTGATCAGAGACATATAATCTAAATTTATCTGCAAAATATGTAAAATTATATATATTTTTAAATCTATAAAATCTATAAATATATAAAATAAAATATTAAAATATGTAGAATATGTAAAAATAATATATATAAATGTATGTAAAATTTACAAATTAAAATACCTCCAGTAAAGAAGGGGGGGAAAGGCATGTGTAAGTACCTGTGCTCCTGAAGCATGACCTTGGGGGATGCTTGCTCCAATCTTCTCTGGCACTGTTATGTGCAGAAATGGCTTTTCAGAACCTGCGGCAAAGGGAAACACACTAGCTTCATCCTGAGTTACAGCAGCAGCATCCTTGTCTTCTCATTTTGTCTCTCTCCATGAATGCACAAGACTGCACACACACACACACACACACACACACACACACACACACACACACACACACACAGAGTCTCATTCCAGGAAGAGGCTCCTGACAGGAAGCCCTGAACTAGGACAGTATGGGCTGAGGGGCTCCAGCCATAGCCACGCCCCCTTCATGCCGACCTCAGTAAGCATATCTACAAGGCTTGTGAAGGGCCAGGGAAATGAGACGCCTATTCCGGCCCCAGCAAGAGCGTCACACTCCTGCTCGGTGGTCTTGCAAGCTGGCCTATCCGTGTTCCCCACGCTGTCCTTGTGCAGCAGGGAGAGTGTGGCCCACACGGCAAGGTGATACAGCAACACACGGAGAATTCCCAGCAGGTTTCTCCACTTACTCAGAGCCATGGATGTCAGGAGACCAAGGCCCGAGAGGAGGAACAGGAAAGTCAGCATTGTGTGGAAACTGGCATGGGCACTTGGCATGGCAGACTGGCATGGGCCATTTGTATTGGAATGGCAATAGCTGGTGATGATTGAAGGGAAGGGCAAGATCAGGAAAAAGTGGGAACTGAGCAGAGCTGGAAGTTGGACTCAATTGCTAAACCTTAGCAGGCCATTGGTCTCTGGACTTGGGATGGGTAGGAAAGGAGGAGTAGGGAACTGACTGAACAGCAGAGGAGCTCAGGGGGCAGGCTCTCCTGCTGGCCCCAGCTCTGTGGATGCCTGAGACCAGCAGCTATAAGGACCTGCATTGCAGCCCCCTGCATGGGGGAAGCATCCAGGAGCCAGGGCTGTAGTGGATGTGCATTTGATTTTGCAAAACTGTGATCATGAATTGAATGCCTTCAGGTCTCCTGCAAAGGACATAAAGCATGTCATTTCCTCTAGGCCACCTGTTCAGGCAATCCGTACATCATAGCTTTCTGGCACAATGGAGAAACTACAAAAGTGAAGAAAAACAGAAAAATCAAACCAAGTGCACAAAGTTAAGCAGCCCTAATTACCTACTTTATCAATTTCTGCCGCTGGCTTTCTGCATTTATATCTCAGGTTAGAACGCACAAACAAAAGCCAATCATTCCATGATTGGAAAGGTTTATTTTTAATTATCTAAATCCAATAAGAAAGCTAAGCGAAAGTGCATACCTGTTGCTTATTTACCATTCACATTTATCATTTAACATCAGGCAAATAAATATCACAGTGAGGAAAACACCGTAAGTACATTCACAACAAATTTCTTTGGTTGTGTGAACTGTTTCTTAAATAGCTTCTTTGTGGGACTCAGAGAGAAGCCAGACATGAATTTCCCCCATCAACATAGTTCCCCAAGAAAAGAAAACAGACTCATATCAATAAAATTTTTCTTTCATCACATAATATACTGTGTGGTGCTTTAGTACACTCATTATCATAGCACTGTATCATCCTAAAGTAAAACTTGAATTTAATAATTTTGAATTTATCTTTTCAGCGAAACTGATCCATTCATCTGATTGGCCACCATCGCTACCATCCGTGTTGAGAATTCTTTCCATCTGGCAAAAGTCAATGTGTCCATTCGCACAGCAACGCCCCTGCATTGCTCTGCCTCCCTTCTCCCCAGATGCCTGGCGGGCACCATGTCCTCTGCCTCATCAGGGTACATCCTTCACACAAAGGGAACCCAGACTCTGTTTGATTTTTACTGATTCATTGATTTTTAATTTTTTTTCCTAGTTACTCACTTTTATTTCTCTTGGCCTATTTCCATGGCTCATTCTTAGAAATGAACCTTAGCAATGAGGTGCTCCCACCTCTGCCCCAGGAGTTTCTTGGCTTTTTGATGAAGACCCTGTAGGTCCTGGTCAGACTCCAGGTACAATGCTGTGAAGTGTGCCAAGGTGCAGCCGACTCAGCAAACAGGGGTTGGGGAGGGAGGATTGCAGCAAGCAAAGCCTACCCAGGGAAGCTCAGCTTCAGTGGGGGACTGATGTGTGGATTCCCCCAAAGGACCACAAGAACCTCATGGGATCTCAGTTTACACCAGGCCCAGGAAGTATTCCCCAGAGACAGGAAAGATGCCCTTGACCTAGAACACGCTTAGAGCAACCCCTGCAAGATGGAAGCAAAGGCAGGGGCCACCTGGAGCTCTGGAGCTACTCTCACTCAGTATTTCTTCCATTGCCCATTCCAAAGCCCGCGATGGAAGGATGGAGGACATGTGAGCTACTGGAGCAGTGCTGGGGAAGTCATTGTGGCCATGGGCCCGCAGCAAACAGTGGAGTGTTTTCTCTTGTGGTTGTAAGAGCTTCCAGGGCAAAAGCTGCTTCCTTCCCACTGAGGTTTATGACGAAAGAATCAACAGACATGAGATTACTCATTTTAAATCAAAGGGTTTATTTTCTTTGGTGTAAGCGGAAGCTGAAAGTCACATCTAAAGGAAAGACATACATGGTTTTTCATTCTTGAGTCAGAGCCTTCCTCCGGTCCTTCTTGATGTTATTGCTTAATGACTGTGGGGGAAACAGAAATGGAGAACTGCTCAAATTTCATAGTAAAGTTGTCTACCCTGGAACTAGAGGCGTAGTCGCTAATGAGCACAAACAACACTGGTGACCCTGAGCTTTGCACTTGTTTGCCATGACATCCGGGCAGAACTGTTTCTTTTTCATCAGTGATTTGCAATAGCCACATGAGAAGGAAACACTGAAACGTAGGCCTTTCCTTTACGAAGTCTTTAAGTACCTGAATAGAAGAGCATGCCTTATATAACAGGGGAAAAGAATGATGTCAATAACGAAACAGGAGCGAGTTGCTAATATGTCTCTAGTATTTGTTCTACTATTTGTCGCGGTATGTCGAGGCAGCACACCTCCACAAACGTTCTACACATTTCTAACAAGTGTCTCACACGGGAAGTTTTGAATCCAAACTCATTCGTCATTCTCCTCCCGACACCAACCTGAGGCTTACCCAACTGCATAATGTGCTTTTGGCAAAACGTGCCACCGTCCATTTTGCCAGATACAGCTGTCCCTGTTATTTTAGCACAAGTACATCTGTCCGGTCAGAACACTGATTCCACTGCCCTTGTTTTCCTAAAACTTGTCTGGGGTTCTCTTACCTGCCCCCCGACAGCTTCTCTGCGGCTGCAGTCACCCCTCAGTCATGGCTATCCACAAGCTTCTCATTTATTTCTCCAATCTTTTCTCCTGACTCAACCCACTTCCCCTGACCTTATTCCAGGGAAATTTGTAAGATGCGCAGCGTATCATGACAAAGCTCCCTCATAGCGCCTCAGGAAGGCTCGAATGACATTCCTCCTCGCCTAGAATACTGCACCCATTCCTCCACTTCTACAGTGTTACCACTGTGTTTTAAAAGAGAAACACACACACACACACACACACACACACACACACACAAAACAACAACTGCTTCCTTATTAACATGCCGGTCAACCACTTCAGTCTTACTCTTCCACGACTCCTTTCATTCACTCATGGGAAAGTGTCAGAAGCTCTCTGAGGCCTCCAAGATGCAGCCTGAGCATCCTTTTCCAACTCTCTCAAAGCCCTCTTGCTAACTTTGCTTCAGATAAACCAGGATTCAGTGGTGTTCATCACACATTTGTGGATTGATTTTTTTTTTTTTGACCCAGAAATACGCATGGGTCATTCTGCTAGTGTTTTGCCTTTGTAAGATGAATTTCCTTAGAATGTTCTATTTTTAATTTTGAAACACCCTAGACATCTGGATTAAACACTTCCACAAAGGGAACTGTGGCATATTTTTAAAAATACTGATTTATTGATTTCCCTGAAAAACTGAATTGCAGAGAGCAAGATAAAAAAAAAAATCTTTCATTCTCTAGTTCACCCCTTATATGGTCACAAGTGTTTCAGCTAGACCAGGATGAGCAAAGAGCCTAGAACTCCATCGGGGTCTCACATGTGGTGCAGCAACACTCCCAGGCATATTAACAAGGAACTCAATCACAAATGGAGCAGCTGAGACTTGAACCAGTGTCCATAGGGAGGTCAGCATTGCAGGGAGCAATGTAACTTGCTGAACTCAAACACTGGCCATTTAAAGGGTCGTGCAATTTTGGATGGGATGTTTGAAATTCAAAGTAAGGAACCATGGGGCCTGGTTTTGCTCTTTCCTGCCCCCCCCCCACACTCGGTGACACAGGAGGAAACATTGATTGACTTCGCTGTCAGTGAGTGTCAGCTATGCGGCATTGGAAAATAAGCAGTTGGAAAAACTCCTGATCATGTACTCTTATTTCAAAGTTATGGTTTTTCCAAGACCTTGCAGTGACACAGGAAAACTGTCAAAATATCAGTATTTTACATAGACAATAATGTAGTGGTTAAAGTCCTCACTTTGTGCCTGCCGGGATCCCATATGGTCGCCGGTTCTAATCCCAGCGTCCCCGCTTCCCATCCAGCTCCCTGCTTGTGGCCTGGGAAAGCACTTGAGGACGGCCCAAAGCCTTGGGATCCTGCACCTACGTGGGAGACCCAGGAGAGCTTCCTGGCTCCTGGCTTTGGATCGGCTCAGCTCCAGCCATTGCGGCCACTTGAGGTGTGAACCATCGGACAGAAGACCTTCCCCTCTGTCTCTCCTCCTCTCTGTATATCTACCTTTCCAATAAAAATAAAAAAACTTTAAAATAAAACTTTACATATATAAAATAGAACTCCAAAGATACATATGGATTCTTTTTCTCTTCATTCCATTGTAAAGAAAGGGTGCATTTAGAATTGCCCTGTGACCCTCTAGGTTCTCAGGTCATTTGAACCCCACGGATCACTCAGTTTTATTATTAGGCTATATGTGTTCAAAGTGTTCTTAGACTCCGGTTGCCTTCTACTCCAGTCCCAAACCTTACAAGAATACTTAGTATGTGAGAAGTTACTTAATTATGCATGACCGTTGGCTTACTTCCTAAACTAGGATAACAACACAAAGAAATTTAAATGTTGGGACATACTATACATGAAGTTTACTTATAAGAAACAACAAAAGAAGTCAAGTATATGAATTTTTGACAATGCCTCATGATAATGTTTGAAATCTCCCCTAACTTAATTCTTATATAAAATGTTCAGTTAATGAATCTCAGGTTAATTGGCATTCAATATGCAAAAAAAAAAAAATCATAAGAAATCCAAACCTGAAGCTTTATCTTACTGTTTGCTTTGTTATCTGAGAATAACATGTAACAGCTTGGGATGATTAATTATGCAAATACTAATTTTCTGATACCAGGTGTAGCTGCAAATCTAAAAGGACTCTTTGTGTTGCGTGTCTTGTTAGTAATTTTAAGCTTTCATTTACCTTTCACTCCATGACTCACTGCTGCTGATAATACTTTCCTTGGATACAGACCTGAAAACACAGAGTATCTGTTAGGATTAGAAGTCACAGCAGTGGAGAGCTATATCAAGAAAAGTAAAGCAAATTAATTAAATAAGGATTTTTAAATGTGTGCTAATTAATCTATTATTATGTATGAATATTTGCTTTTCGTATATCCTAATGCTTGGCTTTTTCTTATTTTTCCCTGAATTATACAGATGGAAATCTTTATTTCAAGTTATGCAGTCCTAGCCAGCAGCTAGCCCTCCTTCTCACTGACAAGAAAAAAAATGGTAAAATAAATACCATTATATCTTACATAGTGATGCCTAAATGTCAAAGAAGATACCATCTAGGAATATCTTTTCATTCTAAAATTACCATCAATCTAACTACAATATTTATGTGAAAGAACTATGAACATAAATAACTTGTGCTAACATCCACTGTTGCTAATGAGATCTTTAAGGGTGCACTAAACCTCCAGGCTGACATAGTTATTTTCCGTGGTGTGTACACCACCTACGTGCCTGCTTTGGAACACTGCTGTTCATCATAGTGGTGTGTAGAGAGCCCGCATGCCCGCTTTGGAACACTACAGTTCACAGTCATTGTGGGCAGGGAGGATCACAGCATCCTCGTCCCTAGTTCACGGCTATAACTCAGGACCACACATGATAAGAACGGGTTTGAACTCCTGACTTGGACTTGTAAACCCATGCAGAACTCTGTCTGAGGTTAGGTGCCCTCACGTAGCTGTATGCTTCTGTCTAGAGAGAATGGACTGACAGACATCGGGACACTGGCTGCGAGCAGATTATCAGTATTTTCTTTACAAGCTGATGTAGAAATGGTTGCAATAGATGTGCCAGAGCAATTTTAAGCAGGCCAGTCATTGTGGAGAGAATGAAAGGTGATCAAGAGAAGGATCCAGTTTCTGACCAACAGTTCATGACCTCCACTTGCTTCAGCCCTGGAACCCTGACATCAGTCATGGCCCCTGTGACACTTAGGCCTGTGGTGACCTCCTTTTGTCGTTGGTAGCTAACGAGTCCTTCCCACGAGAATTTTCCGAGTGTCTGAATTACTTTTAGCATCTACTGCTGTTCTCCAAGATGGGCTCTTCAGTGAGAGCACCCGGAAGACTTCTGCCAGTTCTCCTTTCATGAAGCCAACTGACACTAATTTGATTATGCAAATATCATTATAAAGAGTCCAGTTGTTGCCCTGAATTTCAACATATTATCAGATGCTTTAATATCTTAATGTTATAAATGGAGTCATTGATGAACATTTTAACCATGGTTTTGTGTCCACCAGCACTCCTGAAAAATAGCCGTTTACATGTTGCACCACATGAAACCCATTTATCTTTCCTTTATCTATGTTCTTACTTCCTTAAACATTCACTTAAACATGCATTCCTTAAACATTAAATCAGGTTTGACATTGCTGTTATGTGAAATTAAAAAACCTGTGCAATACCTTAATTACTTTTTATAGACATATGAACAGTATGGTCTCCCTTATTCTGTGCCGGCTCCAGTTTGTCTAGCCGCCCACATGTCCTAGTCCCAGCCTTTCTTCCCTGCCTGTGTCTGTCACCTGCTGAGCACGTGGAATGGCAGGGCCGGCACCGTGGGGCTGCCTGGGAAGTGAGCAGAGCCTCCTGAACGTTTTAGTCAGCTCGGCTTTTCCTGGAGAGGCTGCCAAGATGTCACGAGCAGCTGCAGTGGCTCCTGGGAACGGGACGTGTTCCTGAGGGCCTGGACTCTGAGACTTCCTTATTCAGAAGTTATGAACGCTATTCCTATTCTTTGAGAAACCCTATCTGCAACATTTGAATTTGATACAAATGTTTCCCATAATGCATTTTAAAACTAAACGTAAAAATGTGTTTACCTACCCTCCACTTAAAAGTTCATCTCTGTGCCAAAAGTTCTTCAATGTATTCCACTTTAGAGCAATGACAGCAATGATAGCAAAGAGTGGTACATAAATGTATAAACTGATCAAAAGGCCTTTTGTTGGTGCAGAACGTTGGCTTTTAAAGTACAAGAAAGTATTTCCTGAAAACATGAATATAAATGTGAACTTTAAAAAGATTATATCCAAAGTACATAAATAATTTTAATTATGCAAATTTGGAATTTAAATATCACACAGATGAAGATTAAATTTGAAGTTAAAGGTGTTTTCTAGCCTTCTATGGTAATAGCCCAAAGTGAATTCTGCATTTTTGTCATTCCAGTACACTTGTTCCAATATCATTAACAATATTTTCTTGCCAACAATATATAACATATATCACAGAAAATCATCTGTAATTTCAAAAATTTGAAAAACTTGCACTAGGCAATGACTTCTTGGATAAGACTCCAAAAAAAGAAAGTCAATAAGGCAAAATTGAATAATAGGATTATTTCAAACTATGAAATATCCGCACAGCAAAAGTCACAAAGAATGGCAGATAGATGTAAGAAGGAGAGAAAATATTTGCAAATTATGCTTCTGACAAAGGAAAAATATGCAAAATGTGTCTAAGAAACAAGAAAACACAGAACCACAAAAGAAGCAACCTACTTATAAGGGCAGAGGTTATGAATATATAGAAGAGAGACTAACGGGCAGCAGAGGAAAAGGCTCAGCATAGTTAGCCTTGGGAGAATGGCAAATCAAACTACAATGAGGTATCTTCTCACTCTGTTTCAAGAGGATGTTCACAAAGTTGAAGAATAATAAATGATAGCATGTGGCGCCCTAATACACTGCTGTTAGGGATACAAATAAAACCACAACCAGGCGAAGCAGGATGGAGAGTCCTTAGAAAACCTAAACATGGCACTACCACAGTATCCAGCCATCTCACTTCCAGGAATATTTCTCAAATAAATCAAGTCTAGAAAATATTCCCAAAGCTTTGGTAACACATGTATAACACAATTAAATAATTAATGGATAACTTATTTAGAAACTGTGCTGCAAAAGTCAGAACCCATGAAATCAGAAGCTTAACCTTGGTTTTGGACTTGCGGAAAATAAGTCAAATTGCTCTATGTGTATTGGAGGTCCCAAGACTGAATCCTGGTTCTGCCACTGAATTGTTTCCCACACGTGTCTGCCCTGGCAGGCAGCTGGGGATGTTCAAAATGTTTGCCCTTTGGTCTCCAATACCAGAGTCTTGGGTGAAGTCTGGGCTCCGAGCTTTGGCCAGGTGCAGCTGTGGGTGTTGTGTGCATTTAATTGGTGAGCCAGTGAGGAAAGCAGACTCACTCTCAGTCTTTTACTCGCTTTCTGTCTCAACTTTTAAATAAATAGGATGTAAATAAAAGCTTTTAATGTATCCTGAGATTTCCCAACCTCTTGTTAAAAACTAGCTCAAGATATATTATAAGCATTTATGTTTTTAATATGAAAGTGTATATTATATGACAACTGCACAAAAATCTTCAGCCCCTTTGAGTAACAGAGTTTCCTTAATTTACAGTAAAGACACTACTTAAAAAGGGAAAAGTTGGGATTCTTCAAAAATTAAAGTTTCAAAAAGGTCTTGGTATGAGAAAAAAACTGGTTCATGAAATCATAAAAGCACATAATGAAAAGAAGAAAAATTTAGTGAGTCCTTGGAGTTATGAATGAAGGAAAAGATAATTCATAAATTGCAGAAGACTAACAGTTTTAGTCACTAAATGATTGATCATAAAGTTATGCATCACAACTGAGAAGAATGTTGCTAAGATTTCAATTGGGATTGCATTGCCCCTAGATTCCTTTTGGCAATCTGCACATTTTGATGACGCTGATTTTGCCAATTCACGGGCAGGATAAATATCTCTGTCTTTCGATGGTTTCTTCTATTTCTTTCTTTAAAGTTTTCAATTTTTCACCTTAGAGGTCTTTCACATCTTAGGTTAGGCTTATTCCAGGACATTTAAGGTTCTTCTCTGCTGTTTTGAATGGTATTGTTCTGACAAATTCTTTCTCAGCCATAGAGTTGTTTCTGTGTATTAAGTCCATCAGTTTATGTTCATTGGTTTTGTACTCTGCTACTATAAGTTTCAGTAGTTTCTTTGTTGAGTAGTTTGGCTCTCCTATGTCTAGAATCATGTTGGCTGTGAACAGAGACAATGCAATTTCCTTGCCAATTTGAGCTGATTTATTTATGTATGTACTTATTTATTTTCTGCTTCTCTGACTTCCAGGACTATGTTGAAGCAGTGTGAAAGTGGACTTCCTTGTCTAGTTTGAGATCTTAATGGGAAAGCGTGCAGCCTTTCCCCTTCCAGCTTGATGCTGGCATTGGGTTTTTCTATATTGCTCTGGTTGCATCATAGAATGTTCCTTCTAAGCTTCTCTTGAGTGTGATAGGCCCTGGGTCTCAGAACACACAGAGAATGAACTACACAAATGTGTGGCTCATGGGGTGGCAACAGTGAAGGTTGTAGCCGCTGTGGGAAACCTTGAGCATCAATCACCTGGTGAAGAAGTTAACCAGTGATTTCCCCAACAGCCACGATTATTAGGATTCCAGTGCTGACACAGGAGATCCACCATGTGCAACCTAGGTGTCACCCCTGACTCTCAACCCACACTGTGTGCACAGACCACATTCTGCTGCCCACACTTAGTACACGCCTGCACATATCTGCTAAAGGAGCTGTCGTTCCACCAAACAACAAAGTGTAAAGTTTAAACACTACCCGAGGAATAGAACAGACATTGGTTGAAATGGCTAAAAAATAAACAAAGACAAAAAAGAAACATGAGTCAGGGAGACAGTATGAATCCTCCAAAGGAATACAACACTCAAAAAGTAGAATCTGAAGTTGAAAAGCTTGCTAAAAATGCCTGAAAATGAATTGAAACACATGATCATATTGCTGAAAACAAATGAGAAGCAAATACAGGAATTAAGGAAGCATTAAGTACATGACATAGAAAAGTTTTCTGACTAGATTAAGATTTTGCAGGGAAAGTGAACTAAAATATTAGAACTGAAGAACTCAGTGTGCCAAATGCAAACACCTTGGAAAAGCCTTAGCAGCAGAAAAAAAGAATCACTAAGCTAGAACATAAATCTTTGGAAAATGTGTCACACAAATATCAAGAAGTGAGATTAAACAAAAATAATGTCCCCAAACGATGGCATAGCATTAAATGACCTAACATACACATTTAAGAAGTATTTGAGAATATGGGAAGACTGAAAACATTCTGTGAAATGACAACTGAAAATTTCCCCAATATGGAGAAGGAGAGGTGCAACCAATCTAAGGAAATAACATTGCCGTTCAGGACACCCATAAACGGCAGAACAGACTTACGACTGTTTTTGAAGGATTATATTATCGTAATAAAACAGGGCAAATCAGTAGGGGAGAGGCTGGGGAATCCCGAAGCCTTTAGAACTATATAATAAAATAATTAATTATGGGCCCGGCACGGTGGCCTAGTCGCTAAAGCCTTGAAAGAGCTAGCCCTGAAAGCGCCAGGATCCCATGTGGGCGCCGGTTCTAATCCTGGCTGCTCCACTTCCCATCCAGCTCCCTGCTTGTGGCCTGGGAAAGCTGCCTTCTGGCTTCCTACCTTTCCAAACTCAACCATTCTGGTCTTTGGGGAGTGATCCAGCAGACAGAAAATTGCTATCTCTGCCTCTCCCACTCTCTTTAAACTCTGCCTTAAAAAATAAATAAATAGGGCCCGGCGCGGTGGCGCAAGTGGTTAAAGGTCCTCGCCTTGCACGCCCACCAGGATCCCATATGGGCGCCGGTTCTAATCCCGGCAGCCCCGCTTCCCTTCCAGCTCCCTGCTTGTGGCCTGGGAAAGCAGTCGAGGACGGCCCAAAGCTTTGGGAACCTGCACCCGCGTGGGAGACCCGGAAGAGGCTCCTGGCTTCAGATTGGCATAGTATCGACCCGTTGTGCTCACTTGGGGAGTGAGTCATCGGGCGGAGGATCTTCCTCTCTGTCTCTCCTCTCTGTATATCCGCCTTTCCAATGAAAAAATAATAAAAATAAATCTTTAAAAATAAATAAATAAATAAGCAAAACATTAATGAAAAAGCACTTGAAATAGTTTAATACTCTTAGGTTTTTTTTAGAATTTTAAAAACTTATTCTTATTGCAAAGTCAGATATACAGAGAGGAGGAGAGACAAAGAGGAAGATCTTCCATCCAATGATTCACTCCCCAAGTGAGCGCAACGGTCGATGCTGTGCTAATCCAAAGCCAGGAACCTCCTCCAGTTCTCCTAGGCGGGTGCAGGGTCCCAAAGCTTTGGGCCGTCCTCCACTGCTTTCCCAGGCCACAAGCAGGGAGCTGGATGGGAAGTGGAGCTGTCAGGATTAGAACCGGCACCCATATGGGATCCTGGCGCATTCAAGGAGAAGACTTTAGCCGCTAGGCCACGCCGCCGAGTCCCACCATGATCCATTCTTTATGCAGTAGCATTCTGTCCCGTCTCCACGTGTTTTGTTATTTTCTAAGGTTCCTTGAGTTGTTTATTTCCAAATTCATTCCAAGGTCATCAAAAAACATCCTTTATGGTATGATTTCAATTATTGGTTTTATTTTACTGAGGCCTGTTTTGTGGCACAGTACATGATCTCTCCTAAAGTAGGATCATGGGTTAATGAGAATATGTTTTTGTTGCTTTTTCTACAGTAAGATCCTTTGCTAAATACTCAGATTATAAATTGTGTGGGCAGGGAAAAACAGTCTAACAAAATGTTGTTAGCTCCTTTACACCAAACTGTTCTTTTATTTACTCATTTACACAATTATTTAGATACAGAATTGCTTTGGCACATTTCATTTAAAATATTATCTCAAGTGTACCGAGTTTAGCACAAATAAATGTACTCGGTTCATTTACATATTTACTAAACTCATTTTGAAGTGTGTTGCCACACACTGCCCATCTGGCGATGGCTATGGAAGATTGAGACTTTATTTTCTTCCAATAGTAAAATCAGTTTTAAATAAAGGACTCGGGCCCGGCGCTGTGGCCTAGTGGCTAAAGTCCTTGCCTTGAATGCACCGAGATCCCATATGGGTGCCGGTTCTAATCCCTGTGGCTCCACTTCCCATCCAGCTCCCTGCTTGTGGCCTGGGAAAGCACTTGAGGACGGCCCAAAGCCCTGGGACCCTGCGCCCCTGTGGGAGACCCGGAAGAAGTTCCTGGCTCCTGGCTCTGGATCGGCATAGCATCGGCCGTTGCGGTCATTTGGGGAGTGAATCATCGGACGGAAGATCTTCCTCTCTGTCTCTCCTCCTCTCTGTACATCTGACTTTGTAATAGAAATAAAATAAATAAATGTTAAATATGGGACTCAGCATGCCTCAACAGGTAACATCTTTCAGACATGCAGACTGATTAAACTTTATTCTTTGGCACTTTATATTGGGTAAGGGTTAATCATGTCAGTTCATACATGATTAACAAAATACATCTGGATCAGAGAAAACCTCAGAGATCCAGCTTTGATTCCACGAGGATGAGGTAAAGATTCTTAAAGGGTGAGGAGACGCAGCAACAGAGGAAGGAGTGGGGAGTTAATCAGTCGTGACTCAGTGTCATTTGCCTTAAGTCAAGTGATTCTCATTTTTATTTAAATGTCCCGGAAATAGTGATGGTACCTATTTTTTCTTTCATTTTGTGTAATTCCATTTTTCCAACCAATGGAAAAAAAGTGGCAGATTTTTCTACAAACTACTGCTATCTGTGTGAAAATTTGATAGTGGCAAGAGAAACAATTTGAAAATCCCAGGGAAAAGAAAGAAGGCATCCTCTAAAAATTCATGTCCATGCAGCATAAAAAAAAAATGTATACAGAATTTTCAATGACATTGTGATATACAACAGCAATGAATAATATAGCCAGAACTATATTTAAATTTAAATCATAAGATTTTGTGGCGTAAGTTTCACTTGCTTATTTGCACTAGGTCACATGCTTAGTAGCTGCATCAGACAGCAAAAAAATGTGGGCCATATTCACGAGAGCACAAGGACTGTCGACACATGTTTGTCTGCAAACTCACTTGTAGGGAGCCAAAACCCGTCATCAATGCTGCCCCCCGGTGAATCCGGCATGGGGTCACAGGCAGGCGGAGAATATCCAGCATCACATTGGCAATTAAGACGCTCATTGCAAACCTAAAAGAGAACCCACTCAGTAACGTTTAGACATCCAACATAAAATTGAATGCACAAGTACTGTTTCACTATGTAAATTATGGAACTATTTAAAAAGCATTAAAAACAATTTTTAACTTATTGTAAAAGATATTCTTCAGATCAAAGGTAATATAACAGATGTGAAGGTAGAATTCTTGGATACAGTAATTTTCCTATCTCTTGCACTTTTAAATATTAATGAGCGGTATTTCCCAGATAATGGAAAGGGCTGATGTTTTCCAGGCACAGAGATGACAAAACCACAAAGACTATGACAGTTCAAATTTGTTGTGAATGGTGCTTGATGATGGAGTTTTGACAATGGACAGTGGTTTCATTTTGTGCTGCTGACATGGGTTGGGACCCCCGCATCCCACAGCAGTGTGGTGGGTGTCCACAGCTGGCTCCAGCTTTCATTCCAACTTCCTGCTGATGACAACCTTGGGAGATAGTGACGATGGCTTCTGCAGTTGAGTTCTAGTCATCAGTGTAGGAACCTGGATTGCATTTCCAAGATGCCCAGCACTGGTTTTTGTGGGGCGTTGAGGAATGACCTGCAGTACGGGAGCTTTCTTGTTTATTTTTTATTCTGCTCTCTGTCTTTTCTCTGCTTCTCAAATAAACAACTAAAATTCAAAAAAAGCAACACAAATGTAGCATGATGATAGTCGATTGTTATGATAAATGAGGAATGAAAAAAAGAGTGAATTTTTGTTAATCAGACACTAACACATAAAATTCACATGGAAAGTTAGAATAAAAGTGATGAGAAACAGAACAGGGTCTAGAAATAAATTCACAAAAAAAGCTAAAAGGGCAAGAAAAGAAACAAAGCCAAACAAACCAAAAACAGAACAAAAAGTTGTATGTGGGACAATGTCAAGGAAAGGAAAGTGCACTGGCCATTTGTTCCTTATTTCCCTACGGGAAGCATGAACCGTGCCTCTATCAAAAGTCCCTCAACAAAGTTAAAGCCATACACATACTTCAAAAATACTTGGGGAATTTACAACATTCCCATAACCCAGGAAATGGCTTTATGATAGATAACAAAGAGAAAGTCAGGTGGTAAATATGAGTCTACATATTTCAGAATCCTATCACAAGTGACTAAGTAAATGAATTGATAGTGGGTTGAGAAAGCTAGAAGAGGTGCAAGAGATTGAAAATTTAATCTGACCACAATATGAGGAAACTGGCATTTTCTTCTCTGACTGGTTCAAGTAAAAGTTAAAACATTTCCGAAAGACAGTATACCATCTAAGACATCTGAAATGGCACATGTATTAGCTCCAATATATTTTTGTTACTCATAAATTAGGGTATCAGATAAATACATGAAGATATCTGTATAGTATTGTCTTGTTGTACTGTTATTGCCAATAATCAAGATAAAAAATAACAGTGTTTCAAAGGGCATCAGTAGACGACTTTCTAATGTAGCATAGAAGGTCCATGCATGGAAAAAGATGAAGCAGATCTGAAATGGCAGGTAACTCGCCATCTAGAATTATTATATCATATGCGTGGTGTGGATATATTATTTAAGTAAACAGTCGAGCATAACTTAAAAAGTTAACATAATAAATTGCTTTGCATGATGTTTGTACACATAATCTGGTGCGTGCATAAATGATATGCAGATGTGAGAAATAATGTCACCTACAGTTTTTATTTAACTGTGATTTTTAAAAAACAAAATCCAGGTTAAATATTTCTGAAACTTATCCAGGACAACGTTTCTGGGTTAAAATTCCTGCTGTAGAAGGAGAGCAGTTGTTACCTACCCCATGCCCTTGACACTTTACTTTTGAATCACAGTTGGGCTTTTCTTCATAAGTGCTGATCAAAATACATCTTCCATTTTGACATACCTGTGAAGCATGACAAAGATAAGCAAATCAAGAACAGCAAAGCGTTAAAGTCGATCATTGAAAAAGCATAATTTAATTAAGAACTATGTGCAGGGCTGAATTTGGAATTCTTACTAATCACTCATTCTAAAAAACTGGCCTTGGAGCTAACAGCAGCAGCAGCAGTGTGGCTGTGATTGTATGAGACACTAGACTCTGAAGAAGAGCTGATCTGGTGGTTTTCTCCAGGGAGCAGAGGCATACATTCAATGCCATGAACCAGTGTAAGGACTAAGGCAGTCGACAAACGATCGGGAATGACTAGGATATAAACCAGCAGTATGCAGTTTATAATGTAACTGCACAGAACCCGAGGAGATATTTCTAACCTTATTCTGTATCTACTGGCAACAAAACATGGGCATTAAAACTCATCTGCATTATTGTCAGGTAGTTTTTAATTGAAGAACTGATCTATTCCTACATCAGAAAAATTATTGCTGCATGTGGTTGTTTAATTTCCTGCTTCTTTCCTGAAAATCCCCCTCATCTTTGGTATAATTCTGGGACCTTCAGCGTGTGATTGAGTTACTCCAGACATCACTTCACCTATTTCTGAACTTGCCATGATAACAAAGCCTACATCACAGGTTAAGAGAATGGAAAAAAAGCAACACTTGGCGATAGTTCCTGAAGTGCAATCGACAATTCTATCAATGAATTAGAATGCTATCTTGATTTATAATTTACACTCTATATTGCATGCTGACATCTCTCCATCCAGATTTTAACTTGAATTCCTTTCAGGTATTTTCCAACAAGATGTGTTGGCATTCCTCTAAGTATCTGATGGAATAGTGGATATACGACATATGGATTTGGTTGAAAAGATCAACCCAGGGAATGGAGAGGCAGCAGCCTTGTAAGATGCTCCCTGAATTGTCTTTCACAGATGACACCAGTCTGAACAGCTATCCATGCACAGTCTTCCTCGTAAGAGCTAAGGAAGCCAGGGAGAAGCCCTACCGCCTGGGAGTAGCACAATACAAACAGATGTGTTGAAGGTGCCAGGAACAAAAGAGTCAATGACATCAGCTTTCTACGAGCTCCAGGCAGCACAGCACGGAAGGGAGAACTGAGCTGAGGCATGCATACCAGTCCTAGTGCCAGGCTTGTCACCGTGAACCCCAGTGTTGGCAGAACTCCCATGTCAGTACCTGAAGAATGAGCCTCTGAAAGCATGCGAGGCAGGAGGCCCAAGGACTATCTCCACCAACACAATGTCAAGTCAGGCGGTGAAGCACAAGGAAAGTGCGTACACACTGGCGACTGGGTCTGCAGGCGAGCATGGGGTTAAGTAGTGTAACCATGGAGTGTGCGATGACTACACAGACTCAGACTAAGCCCACAATGTCTGCTTTTAGAGAAGGTCTCAGCAAGGAGACTCTGTGGGTGGGAGAAGGGCAAGTAAAATGCCCCAGCTGTTCTCACTCATAACACAGATGCCAGAAGCACTTGCAAGCCTCAACCCAGTTCAGGGGGCTTCTGGGGTGCCACTGGAGAGTGAATCTAGTCCATGCAGCCCTCCCCCAGTCAGTCTCTGACTGCACTGAACTATCTTGACAACCCCATCCCTGCAACCAGGTCCAATGAAGCACCTGCTCCTACATGCCCTGCTGATTCACACAAGTGAACTACCAGTACTTTCTGCCTGCCCCCTGTAGCACGGACTCAGGAAGACAAACTGGGTAGTACACCATGCCTTGCCTGATTGAGCCTGCACTGGAAGCAGCTGTGTAGCACAGCTCATGTAAACTCAAAGCCAGGAAGCCGAGTAGAGGCCCTTCCTTTGTGGCTTTGCCCACTGAGAGGAAGCCATTAACTGACCATGGCCAGCCTCCCACAGCTCACATAAGCATGTAACTAGGGTATGTTCCAAATGTAAGACCAGAAAGCAGTTGTTCGGCTTTGCTCACTCACTCTGGCTCCAGAATCAATCTGGACCGACCTCCCTAAGCAAGTTGTCCCTGAGAAATCCATGGGAAAACATTAAAATAGGATGGATAAAATTGATCACAGAACAAGAAACTTTCTGAGCTTCAACACAGAATCTGTGAAAGAGCTGATTCAGAAAGAAAGAAAGAAAGCCTCCAAGGATTACTAGATATCTCTAGTTGAGCAAATGTGTGTATTTTGCAAAGGGATGGAAAAGAAGAAAGGGAAAATACACAAACCCGTCTATACAATTGATAAGAACTTCCTAAACTCTGGGAACTACTGGTGCACCCAATTCCAGGAAACACACCCCCCTCAAAGACTCCTAACTGATTCCATCAAAAAGAGACCCTGTCTGAGCCACACAATCAAAAAGAAGAAGAAAAGAGACTTTCAGAAACAATTTATGATCAGTTGTGAAGGAGGTATCAACTGACTAAAAATGGCGAACTTTGCAGAGAAAGTGTTCGAGGACAGGAGAGAGATAATGGGGGCAAAACATTCAATATCCTGAAAGCAAAGTTAGTAGGCATGAGTAACAGTGGCAGTGCAGCCTTCCTTAGAGATGATGGAGAAATAAGACTTTATATGACTGATCATTTTTTTTTACCACCTTCTGATGAGATGTGAAGGGAAGGCTTAAGGGAGACCGCATTAGAAGTAAAAGATTGATAGCCATCACCATGAAACATACATGAAGATGAACAGAAGAGCAGACACAGGTGAATGGCAAGAAAGAGCTAGTGACCCAGTTTTATTTTTACTGGATTTTTTTTTCCTGGTTTTGGTTTTGGTTTTCACACGTGTTAATCAGGATTATTAATTTGTAATTTATTTGTTCTTATTTACTAGATCCTTTTTAAAAAATCTCAAATTTCTTTGAAAGAATAATAGTGAGGAAAAGCAAGAGAGATCTATGCTCTGCTTCGCTCCTCAGCTGCCCCACCTCCGCAGGAATCCTCCAGGTGGGTTCCGGGGGACCTGCTTCTTTCCCAGATGGCCTGTGGATGAGCATGGAGGGCAGAACATCAGCACAAATGCAAGCAAGGACCATGGTGCGAAATGGCCGCGTGGCCGTTGTTGGTAGTACAGTACCACAGTCCTGGCCCTGCTCATTAGGCTTCGTATTGAAGCAATCGAGTTTCGGTACTTGCTCTATACCACTGTGCTTACACAAGTAGGAGTGAGCTGGCTACTTGTAATTGAACTTAAGTTCAGCTCTTTTTCTTTAGTGTGTGAATTTACAATAAATATTTCAGGTTATACTGTGCTTATTTTTGCTAATCAAGCATAGCTAAGTGACCTCTTTGCTTGTGCTGTGTTTCTTTTTGTTTGTTTGCTTTTTGTTCCAGGATATTTTCAGATTCCATCTCCGTTTTTAATTTACCTCAGCATCGTTAGAAGTACATTTCTGTCCATTGCTATGTCTAAAGAATATGGAACACACCTACTTACAAAAGAGAGAGAAAGAGGAAGAAAATGTCAGAAAGCTCTGATGCAGCTTGCAAAAATTCAGTGTTGGGCCAGCCATCATTCTTGGCTCACAGAAGATTTTCGCTGTTCTGTGTCTTATATACTGTTATTGAAGCAATATGTTTTTCATAAATAATTGGATTCGTTTTGGTGGAAAAAAAGATATAATCTAGTTGCACTCTTTCTTTTTGCCTAGTTAGTAAAAATGCTCTTGTCTTAAATTTGCTGACTAAGCCTATTGCTGCTCGCTGTGGGAACCTGCCCCAAGACCTGTTCCTTGTTTTGCTTGGATAACATTTATATAGTGGTTTGTGTTTCCAAAAGAACTACTGGATTTCAGTTGCCCAGTATAATAAATATGACCCGATTTAATTATTGGAGGTAGCAACGCCAACTTGGAAAATGATGATTGTTGCTTAGAGAAAAATCCCAAATTAGGTATCTTACTAAACATGGAATGAGAGTAGAAGGTCATACAACTTAAAACTGTTACTGTGACAGTCACAAAAAAACCAACAAAATCTTTCTTTAAAGGTATTCAGTGTGCTCAATGAATACAGCAAGCAAATTTCCTACCAGGGTGAATCTTTTCACGGTGAGATAAAGTTAGACTCCCACCAAGCTTTCTTTCATTTTTTTTCCTCCACTTTCTTCCTTCCTCTTTCCTTTCCACCCTTCATCCCACCTCCCCTATGCGACAGGTTCCAAATACCTCTTGTTTCAATGCCACCTTGCTCCTAATGCATATGTCAGAAAGCAGCAGTAAGTTTTTCAAATTCTTAGATGAAATTTGAGTTCTGGCTTCAGCTTGGCCCAGCCCAAGCTAGCCGTTGCAGGCATTTAGATATTTGGGCAGAAGACAGACTGGATGAATCTCATTCCTCATTTCTCATTCTCTCTCTCACTCTCCCGCTCTCTCTCACACACATATACACTCAAACACGAATAAATCTACCATGTATAAACTCTAGTTGTGTTTACCTTTTTTTCACCGCATGTTGAACCGTCTTCCACGTAGGTATTATCATTTTCTTGTGTTGCATTTCTTAATGCTGCAGACACACAGATTTTGCCATCAAGATGTATGTATTGTACATCGTGAGCCACCGGGGTCGATAAGTCTGATGATGACCACAAGCAAACTAATTTTCCACAGAAGATATTACTGGCAATTTAAGACACAAAAGATTATCCATTTGTCACATAAATATGCACCATGCTACTAAATAATGTTTAAAAAGAATATTAACTTAAAGCGTTACTGAGGTCCTGAAACCAAAACTTTTCAGAGCATTCACAGCCTTATGAAGTGCAATTTATACAGTTTCTGTAAAGTGGTAGGATCATCTCACATTTGCTTTTGTGGGTATGACACACAACACAGAACAGTACCATGTGCTGGAAAATAGATTATTTTCTAAATACATACACAAACTCGCATTTTCCCCTGCAGTTTCCAAATTTGTCATTATGCATATTAATTTCTTCTTCACACAGATAATTGCCACTCCTGGAAACTGAAAACCATAAGTTCCAGTTATTGATGTATTTAAAAAGCCTTGAGAAACTATACATATTCAAATCAATTCAGAGGTATGTAAACAGCCAAAATGACCAATGTCACATCCTAAAAATTTTGTTGTTCTACTGATTCTGTAGAATGGAGAGAAGCATGTTAAAATCTATTCACAATAGGGAAACTTGCACATTATTGTAGAAGTGATCGAGAAATAAGTGACTTGATCTCTTTTGTGACATTCTAGTAGTCCAGTCTTTTCCCAGCAATCATCTGAATTTTGACAAGTATTCTCTTCTGCTTGTGCTGAAGGTTATTATTCATTTTGTACAACACAGAGATCAGCTGCTTAGACATGAAGTCTTATTTGCACATGTGGTTATAAAAATAACAACCATTTCCAGTTTGGCTGTAGGATAGCTGACAATCTTCAGATAACTACTGTGTGAAAATGAATCCCAGGGCATAGATGCAATTCTTACATTCTCCAAATAGTTGTAAACATTGCCTGTCTCGATCTCGGCATTTTCCTCTCAAGCAGTAGGCAGTCTTATTACTGCATGGTTCCAAGTCAGCGGATTTAATATCAGGTACACAAAATTCAGATGTCCCATTGCAGTATTCTGGAAAATCGCAGAAATCACTGCTTTTCCTACACAGTCTTCCTCTACTGGCTATCTGTGAGACAAGAAAGAACAAATATTTGTACGTGTTGTGGGCATGACTTCCTCTAACATTTCAGCAGAATTAGTGAAAACACTGGCCAAGAACGGAACCCTGTACTTTTCATGAAATACTTGCAGATTATGGATTAGAAAAGCAAAAAGCTTTGAAATGAGCACTTGTGGAAAGTGCTTGTGTGAAAAATTTCAGCAAAAGACAGGACAACCGCTGTCCCAGGTTTCTTCCTGTTTCAAAGTTGATGGTTCGGTGGGATAAAGATGGACAGTGCCAGTACTCTGGTTCATGCATCACCCATCCACTCACCTCTAGGTAGACCTGGACTGCACCGAGGTTAGCAAGTCCTTAAGCTAGGTATCATACGGATATTGTAGAGGCCTGATCGCGGGCTGGTTCTTACAGTCTGACTTATAGGATGCTGGAGTCAGGAACCAGGGCTACATTTCAATCTCAAGTGTGCAGGTATAAGATGTTTTTACATCATTGTATGCACGTTGCATCACTTATTTAACTATGGGATAGAGAGGAACAGGCAGATGGACATAGAGAGTTCACACTTGCTGGTTTACTCTCAAAATGCGTGTGACAACAGGGAACCGGGGAAATAAGAATTAAATTTCTGAAAAACTCTGGTGGACATTCACCTATTTGGAAGTAAGTAGAGAAAAAAAAAATGGAATCCTCTTATAAGTTTGGCAAATAAAAATGGGAACAGATTTTAAGATATTTGAATAAGAGAAAATAAAGAATTCCATGCTGTAACTCATGTTAACTAATGCTAGCTTCTTAAATTGGTGGCATTGGAGCACTCCCTAATAACTTGTTCTGTGAAGTATTGCCATGTTCTGCCAATTGTAGTGGTCACTTTCCATTTTCACATATACTTCAGCATGTAGTCGGAAGGCCTTGAATATTTAGAAAAGTCTCAGTATCACTAATTGGAAGACAAAGGCCAAGAAGAGAGCTTTGGTGATAGAAAAAGCAAAAAAGCAGCAAAAAGTAGTATTAGGAGGATGAGCTGAGGTTTGGCAGCCCCAACTGATCCGCTGTGTGACAGCCTTCTCTTGCTCACACGGTGGGACAACCCACATTAGGACACTCTCAGGAGTCTTCACTGGGGCAGGTCTGGCTGCTCCATGCCATGGCCGCAGGCAAGCTCCATCTGACAGCCTGGCTCAGCCTGAGTCACAACCCATTCCGAGCCATCCAATGATCCTTTCTGTGCATTGCTCAAATTTCCTTTTCTTTCTTGCACCACATCACTGCCCAGGAACTGCTAATTCAAAATTGTCAATATCAAATATTCAGAATAGTAAATATCAGAAGATCAAAGTGTTCCAAATCTTGAGCCATTATCAGCGGAAATACTCATTGTGTCTGCACGGTGTGTTGCCATGTTATAATGTTACAATAAAATGACCATGGGAGGAGGTCCTAATCCTAGTACATACCACTGCCATGGGTATTTACAGAAAGGAGCGTTATTCCAGAAAAGGGTATTAATTCCAGAAAAGGGTAGTGAAAATGGGCAGTACTGAAGCCCTGTCTCAAAATTCCCCCACCTCTGAATATTTAACTTAGCTCCAAGTTAGGCCCACATGCCTTATGCTTCTTGATAGGATAGAGGGACATGGCGTCACTTGTTGGAGGTTTTTTGCTCACTCAGCTTTCTCTTGAATTTGCCTGCACTTGGATCTTGAGTGTGCACATCCCATTTGCTCTAAATGTACCCCGTTTCCCTGCACAATATTATGTCTCCATATTGCATTTGTTTATGTTTGGAGGGAAAAACATGGAATAAACTCAACTGGGTTACCCACTATATGTGGCAAGCCAGCCAGGGAGGCTGAATATGAGATGGAAGCCTAACTCTTGCTTCCCTTGTCTTTGGGAATCTTCATTTCTTTCTTTTTTTCTTTCTGACTCACCTCCGGCCCTTTGATGTTTGCACACTCCAGCTCTTATTACAGGTTGAATATCCAAGGGTTGATACAATGCAGAGCATAAGCTTTTGCATCCTTACTTGGAAAAGTTTTGTAAGACTGGGTTCGGTTATCTCTTAAGCCACTGAATGCCCTGTCTCTTGCTCTCCTGCTGTGGTCTGGCCATAGATTTTCTGTCTCTACTAGCTTCCATTCACCTACATACTTAAAAAAAAATCCTTATTTTCTGTTTTACCATTTTGTAGTTACAGGACTTCCTGCCTTTCCCTCCACTTCCTCCCGTCCTCTTCTCCACTTCCCAGTGTTCTCTGTGTCTTATGATAAAATAGTCCTTCAGCTATAGTAGTCTCAATTCCAATGTTAAGCTCTTTATCTGTGTGTACACAATGGTAGGGAGTCTAGTATTTTGCTGTCTAGGTTTATTTAACAGCTTTATTGGCAGCTTACTTTTACTCTGGAGTAGAGACACATACTGCAGATTTCCTTTGACTCCTGGTACTCTCGTCTCCATTTCATCATTCATTTGCAAGATGACCAATGTACATTTTTTTACCTTATACCTTTCATTTTTTTTTGTTTTGGCATTCACCTACATATTTTAAAATTTTATCCTTTTTGTTCTTTTGGACTGATTTGCTTCATCAATGATTTTGTTATCTGTGCCAATGATGTGTTTTGTTCACATGCAGTTTGTATCTTCCTGTGTGTGACAAAAAGATTTTGTCTCCCTCCAACTCCTGGGCACCTTTGTTGTCTCTTTAGAATGCCTTTTGGTATTTGGATCTTCTGTATAAGACCTACATAAAACTGATATCCCTTTTCTTATCTTGATGCCATTAGGTTCAGTGTTGATATTACTTATTACAAAGCATGGATGAGGTTTGGAGGTGGTTCAGGATATGGTTGATGGGTATTCCAAGAATTGCTGCATTCAATACTTATATATAGATATATATATTCCTGAAGTGCAATTGAGGCTGAAAGAACCTGCTATAGTCATAATAGAATCCTGGCAATGCTTTACCAAAAGACTTCAGAATCATTAATTGAGCAATTACCGATTGCATTTTTAGAATAAAGGTGATACCCAATACCACCTTACAACTGGGTTTTTATGTGGGATATTATATACAATTATCTGATGTTTTCTTTGGTTCAGATATCCAATAGTAAATTTACCATGTTGTCACTTTAATTTCTGACAGGATGTGTCAATAAGGTTCTCATGATGCCAGATTCCCAAAATAAAGAGCAATCAATCTTCCTAGCAAATCTGGGTTTGAAAGAAATAGGAATAAAAGAGATTTCTTAACAAGTATCTAATTGCAGAAACTGATAGTCGTTGTTCAAGAGGAGAACAGTTGAGAAAGTGCTCTAATGGGGCTGAGTAAGATATAACTCCTACATACCAACTTGTCATTGTACAGGTCCATCCAAGACAAGTCCAAGTGGCCCTCAGAACTAACCCCCAGCACGCACCATTTTGTGTATTGAGGAAAAGACTGTGGATGGTGGGGTGGCTGCAAGAACAATGGTGAGCTCCACATGTGCTGAGCTGGGAGAAGACTCACATCTGGCACAAGTCATTTCACTGGTTCCACAGAGGAAACAGTACCAACTTGGCATCCTGTTGAGTTCCACCCAAAATAGGTCAGGGTGATGCCCATACCTAACAGCCAGCATGCCCAGACTGCCACCAGTGTCACGCTGGGCATCATTTTGTGTACAGAAGAAAAGGCTGTGGGGCTGAACCAGGAGAGAACTCACTTCTAACCCTATGTATTGCACTGGTCTCTCAGGGAAAATAGCACAGAGTAGGCATCCTACAGACTCCACCCAAAATATGGCTGGTTCCTCTATTTTGTTAACCTCAGAGCTAACTGAGGAATGCATCGAGAAAATGGGGAGTAAAGAATTTTAAATCTGGTTATAAAGCTTATCAACAATGTGAAACACATTCAGGAGTTCAAGAAATTTAAGGAATTTGTTAAAAAGAAATAGCAAGGAATCAAATAAAAACTGATATATTGAAAATGAAGAATAGAGCAAATTTAAAAAAAATCCAGCAGAAAACCTGAGTGATAGAATGAGTGAGGCAGAAGAATCTCTGAATTGGAAGACGTTTCCTGCAATAATGGGGAAACAATTGCAAAGCTGGAAGTGAAACTGAGTCAAGGTAAGGAAAGTATTCAAGATTAAAGAGACTATTAGAAGGCCAAATATAAGAGTTATGGGAGTTCCAAAAAGCACGCAGAGAGAAGCTGGGTTTAAAAATGTATTCAATGAGATAATAAATGAAAACATCTCTAATATGGAGAAAGTATTGGGAAACAACATACAAGAGGGGCACAGAATTCCCAACATTGGCCAGAAGCAATTTTCACCACAATGCATGTTAATCATGCTGTCTTCAGTCAAACACAGGGAAAAGATCCTTAAACATGCATGTGAAAAGTAAAATCAACTAACCTATAGAGGAATCCCAATCAGACTCACTGCTCACCTCTCAGCAGAAATTCTACAAGCCAGAAGAGAGTGGAATGACATATTCTAGATTCAAAAAGGATGAACTTGTCAACCCAGAATAACTTACCCAGCAAAGCTTTACTTTGTTGTTGAAAATGAAATAAGATGTTTCACAGTAAAGAAAAAGCTCAAAGATTTTGCCTCTTCCAGAGCTGCTCTATAGATGCTATTTAAAGATGTTCTCTTGACAGAGAAAAGGAATAACACCTACCAAAACCAAAGACAAGCATGAGAAAGTCCCAATAAGACAGCCAAAGGATGCTAAATCGAACAATGAACAACCCACTGCTAAAATGACAGGACCAAATTACTACCTGTCAATATTTACCTTGAATGTAAATGGCTTAAGCCATTCAGCAATCCAGTGTCACAGAGTAGTGGATTGGATACCCATCTATCTGTTGCCTGCAGGAGGCACATCTCACCAACAAAGGGGTGTGGAAACTTAAAGTGAAAGGATGGAAAAAGATATTCTAGGCCAAAACAAATGAAAAATGAGCTGGTTTAGCTGTTCTTATATATCAGATAATATAGACTTCAATGTGAATGATATTACAAGAGATGAAAAAGAACAGCACCAAAATGATCAAGGGAACAATTCAGCAAGAAGAGGTCACCTTACCAGGTTCTTTTATTTTCATTTCTAATACTTTTGTCTGTTTTTTTCTATCTTGCATTTCTTTGCTAGTCTGGATGAAAGATCATTTTGTTAATCATCATCTTGGTTTTTTTTTTTTTAAGATTTATTTCTTTTTATTGCAATGTCATATATCCAGAGAAGATCTTCTGTCCAATGATTCACTCTCCAAGTTACTGCTTTTGCTGGAGCTGAACTGATCCGAAGTCAGGAGCCAGAAGCTTCTTCCAGGTCTCCCATGCTAGTGCAGGGTCTCAAGACTCTGGGCCATCCTCGATTGCTTTTCTAGGTCACAAGCAGGGAGCTGGATGGGATGCAGGGCTGTCTGGATTAGAACCAGCTACTATATAGGATCTTGATGCATTCAAGTTGAGGATTTTAGCCGCTAAGCCACTGCACCAGATCCTGGTTCATCTTCTTAAAACATTGTTTCTTGTTGCAATATGAAGTTTTTTAGTTTCAATTCTATTTATTTTTGCCATGATTTTTTTTATCATTTCTTGTTTCCTGTTCATTTTTCTTCTTTAATAATTCCTTGAGGTGTCTACCATTAGATGAGTGAATAATGAAAACGTGGCATACAAAACATGGCATATAAAATATGCATACATATTGAATATATATTGAATGCATATTAATTGATTGAATATTATTCAGCTATGAAACATGAAATTCTACCACTGACCGTAATTCGGACTCAGCTGAAGGACATTATATTAAGCCAAATAAACCAAACCCAGAAGACAATTACCTCATGTTCATCTTATACATGGCGGGTAAATTAAAAAAAAAATAGGAAAAAGCAGAAAACAAATCTGTGCAGACATTGATATCTTGGCAAATATAGTATTTTAAAACTTTCTTTTATATTTTTGTCAACCCAGTGATTAGGAATGTTCCAGCAGTGTGGAGGCTGCTGGGAGGACCTGGGCCAGGTTGGGCACAAGACTTGGGGTCCTAGCCCCAGCCACCAAGTGGTGGGCAAATCTTGGGCTTATCTAGGCCTGGGAATTTTGTCCTCCACAGTAATTACACTGTGAAAGGATCTCAGGCAGCTTGGGTCCCTGGCTCTTCCCACCAGCACCAGCCAGATAGGAGGTACTCAGTTGAGTTCGACCTCTGGGCTTGGGTGTATATAATTTTTATACTTATTGTGTAAAACAAGAATGTTATGCTACTATGTACTAATCACCTGGTTACTGTATAATTCACTGCATATGGATAATATGGTCAATTTTTGTTAGCCAACTGTTATTTAAAGCCACTGTTGTAGTGTAATTCAAGCCTTTTGATTTTTTGTTATTAAGCTTTTTGGCCTTTTATTCAGTGAAGTGGTAATCCTTTTATTGCTGTGCAAATCTGAACAATATTTTGGCAAATATTTCTTTAAGCTAGAAAAGAAGAGGGAAAGGGGACAAGGGGAAAGGGGGAATTTCATTGTGTTCTTAGAACTATATCTATAACTGGAATTATTAAGCTGGTAAAAAGAATCAGTCTCAAAAGAAAGATTTCATGCTTTCGCTGGTTTATGCTAATTAATATAGAGTACAGAAAAGCACAATTTACGTGAGCAAGATTGCTATTCTGATATTTAATAATTTCTACTGTCTTTGTGCTACTGAGGAAAATGAGTTTTTTTTTTAATTTAAATTTCTATTGACTATGAGTTCAGAGCTTTACCTACCAGAGTATTAGGCCTGTGAGTGCAAAAGAAGGGAAGAGGCAGGGAGGATGGGGAATGAAGACATGAGGAAGTGGGATGCCGGAAGCATCACTCTGTTGCTAAATCCATAGTGTGTAATATGTGAACTTTGTTCACTTGATCTAAGCAAAAAGAATAAGCAGATAAGCAAAGTTTAGATGTAACTATACCATAAATCATACTGAATCTATTAAATACTAATTATAAATTTTAAAAATTCAAAAAAATAAGAAAAACGGTAGAAAATGTGTACCACATATTACCATTTTACAGGAATCCTCTCTTTCTACAGTTTTCAAAAAATGATTTGCTTCTTGGCCCTTTGGCTACAACCAAGTGTAAATTTGAAAAAAAAGTAAATTTTTATGTTTGTTGATTATAAAAACATCACATGTCTAATTGTGTAAGATGATTAATCTGGACTTTTTAAAAGTTGTTCAGTCATGAAGAGCTGCATTCAGGCATAAAAAGTTAATCGAATCAAAAACATTTAGTGTCGGTGGTGTATGCAAGGAATGAGTGTTCATTAGAAATTGAATATGCTGTTTAAAAAAATGGAAATAAGAGGAAGGTTGAAATATACCAAAGACATCTATGTGAAATCAGTTGTGGCAGGAAATACCATTTACCAGTGGAAGAGATTTTTATTTTGAAAACACTCACATATCCAAATGTTCAACATCCATCTCTCGAGAAAATAGCAACATTCTCCAAAGAGCATGCTCTAGAGATTATTTAAGGACATGAAATATTCTGATGGCCTGAAGAGCTGGACCATAAATGTTTTCAATAGAACACAAAATAAGACATCTGAAATATCTTTTTAAATGCTAATAGCAACTAAATATGAACACAAGACTGTTCCTGGGCGAAAACAATGTGATATTCTGAAAGCTTACCGTGCATGTTTTTGAATCACAGCATGGTCCACTGCCACACTCGGAATAGCCGATCAGTGTACAGTCCGCAGGATTGCAGCACCTTTTGTGTCTGCATGTCTAAAAGCAGATTGTTAAAGTTAAAAACAGACCTTTTGAATCACATGAATGATTTTAGATAGTTTCTAAGTGCAGTTAGGTGTCACATACAATTAGGGTTTGTACAAGGACAGATTTTATGCACAAGTGCAGTCACACACTTCTGTAGAGGAACTGAAAAATGCCTACGCCCTAGTGACAGGACCACCCCAACTGTAATGCGACATATGACTCAAGTGACTATGGTGATGTTGGCATGAAAAGACCTGTACTGTCAGTCACGTAAATATGACACACAAAACTGGGCACAGAACACACAATGGATAACAGTGGATGACCATGCTGCCAACTCCATGTATTCACCAGTGGAAAATACAGATTGAAGCACTAAGGGGACAGCTCCCAGGAGGACTATCTCTCTAACAGGGGATCTTCATATCTCTCTTGCTCTCATAAACCCTGACATAAACCAACATTGCAAAGCATTAGGGTGAGTGTTGTGGAAAGGAGGCTAAGCCACCACCTGAGATGCAAGCAGCTGAGATGGGCACAGGTTCAAGACCCAGTTGCTTCACTTCCCATCCAATTCCCTCATAATACACCTGAGAAAGCAGTGAAAAATGACCCAAATATTTGGGCACCTGCACCTTTGTGGCAGACTAAGAGTATACTGTCAAAATTCCTGGCTTTGGATCAGAACAGCTCCAGCTAATTTGACCATTTAGGGAGTGAATCAGTGGATGGAAGGCACACACTCTCTCTCATTCTGCTTTGAAATAATGAGTAAATCTTTAAAAAGTATTATAAAGCCTTAATGTGTTATGCCAAAATGGAGTGTGTGTATGTGTGTTATATAAACTTATTTGAAAGGTAAATTTACAGTGGTAAGAAAAAAGAGACAGAAAGAGCTTCTATATGCAATTCACTCATAACTCCGTCTGCCTCGTCCACATGGGTATTAGGGGCACAAATTCTTAGGCCATCTTCTGTTGCCTTCCAAGATTTCATTAACCAGAAGCTGGGATTGAAAGTGGAGCAACAAAGAATGAACTGGCACTGTGATGACTCCAGGATGGCAAGAATCAGCCTCACTACTACACTGACCCCCAGTATATTTTCACCATATAAGAGAAGGTCTTTGTGATCGAGTTGTCAACAACAAGACTTCGTATGCCCTAGGCTTTAGGAAATGACAACACAAGACATTTATTTGAACTCTATAGGAAGGGAGAGTAAGAAATTGCATGCACCCAAACTTCACAGCTGCAGTTCTTAGATTAATGTGTGTCATCTCAAGATGGATCTCTCTCAACTCTTGGCTGACCTCTCTTGTAACTGAAAGCCGTCAAAAACATCAACACTAAATGGATTGAGTTTTCTCTTCGGAAGCAAATGACTTCTTAGAAAAATGGGCTTTCCACACCTGTGACTCATGACTTCTTTGTACCATCTCTACAAAAGCTTCAACACCTTGCCCATTTCCCTTGTGTTTTTGATGCACTGGTGGATAATGCAATAGTTGAGATTCTCTGACTGATACCCCTCCACTGGAGTATGTATGGCTAAATGTGGGATGTTTTACATTGAATTCAAATTCATAAGTCACGGTAATAGTCTCTGATTCACTTCATAACAACTGCCACTGACATCCGAAGTCCACTCTCTTGTCCTTTGTATGCAGTGTGGTTCTCATATTCATGAATTTTGTGTTTATTTCTAATATATAATAACAGCTAAAAATTACTTGTGGGTTTTTAACTTATGCTGCAAATTGAATGAGGAAACCAGAAGAAACATCCAACAGCTTAAAAATACATATATATCACCATTATATCCTTTAATTTCCATGAATTCTCCATGCCTCTATAACATAACCTTAGACAAATATGAGTCTCAAATATTGCCGTTCTGTTGGTGATTCCCGGTACAAACCATGGTCCATGGAGAAAAGTCCAAGGTGCATTTGCAGCATACTTGGAGGACTTAGAAGGGCAAGTATATGTGTGCATGAAATCATGTCAGTAAATGTAAAGAATCAATATGCAAGTTCTAAACCCCAACCCTCGTGTCAGTGCACATCCAGCTGGAAAGGGGCCACTCCTCTGTATCTCCTAACAAGCCATATGAAATGAAGACACTTTTTTCAATGGGTGCAACTTCTTATAATAGGCATTGGGAGAGTCTTTCTTTCATAGCTCAGCAAAAATGTACATGAAGTCATAATTGGAGATGTTTGTCCATCATTAGCTACCACCGTGGCTCTACTGAATAGGCTATGGATAACTGACAAATTCTCTAACACTGGATTGGAGAGAATATTTGCACCTTTGATAGCCAAACAGAAAGGACTATGTATAATAAGTAACATTTTTTTTCTTTGCAGTGTGAAAATACCTGATATGGGAGAAACTGTACACATCGTTTCAAGATTCTGACATATTCATATGAAACTATCCATTGCACTCAGTTGAGTTCTTTGGAGCTAGAGTAGTGAAGAAACAATGGCAACAGAGGGAATACTGAACTAACCTGATGCCTCTCATTATGAATGCCCGTGATTAGGGCGACACTGAGTGGCACCACCTGAAGGCTTTGGTCAGCTTGACCAAAGGGCAGGGTGATGGTGATCAGATATGGCGGGTTTTACAGTTCAGTGAACAAGTTTCTGTTGGTCATATACTTTTGCTCCTGGGCAAGTAGTGATGTGCAATGTAGCCCATTATGGCAACAAATTGAAGCTTAATTAAAATAAATTCTCTAACAAAGAGCTAGAGTCTCTACATCACGGTAGCTGGGATTTAGCTAATCACTGGCTGGCAAATCCTCAGAATATGACAGTCTAATGCAACTACTTCAAATTACCAAGTCTAGACAAGGGGGAAAAAATGAGAGCTTTCAGGAATCAAGCTGTTTCTGTGTATAGATACTGCTTGTTCAATGTTGCTGGGTAAATCACTCTGGGACATTCTTGGCTCAGATAAACTGTGCTAAATTGCATTTCTCTTAATAAATGGAAGATATCTAAAAGCAGCATCCTATGTAAATGACAAAGGAGCAAAACGTGTTGCAAAAAAATCACTAGATCTCAGAACAATGGAAGAGACTTCTGAACTTGAAATGTAATCATCAAATGTATCCTCATCAACGGGTGAGAGAGTAGTGAAAAACTTATGACCTAAGGAACTTACACATAGGAAAAAGCAAAATGCTCACCAGGTAGAGTAAAACATTTTACAAAGTTCAAGCCATTAGTAGAGCTTCCAATGGAAGTGTGCTATTTTTACTTTTATATTTCATAAAAGCTTTATTTGCTACGTGAAAGTCAGTTACATATAGACGGGGGAGAGAGAGAATTTTCCATTACCGGCATAATTAATAAACAGCTGTAAGAGCTAGGGCTGGGTTAGGAGAAATTCAGGACCCAGGATCAGCCTTTCTGCTACATCAGTGGCAATGGCCCAAGTACTTGCACCAAGTGTTTGGGTGTGTTGCTAGGGAGCTCTACTGGAAGTGGAGCAGCTAAGACTGGAATAGGTGCTCCCGGAGGATGGTAATGTCTGTAGGCTGCAGCATAACCAGACACATCACAATACGGGCCCCAAGAATTCATCCTTAAAATGATTTTCTGAATGAGAAAACGCATCTAAGAAAGTAGAGTGGGATATATGAAATATATTAATGATAGGCGGGTATGTCTAAATAACACAAAGAACATGATATATATTAGATGAAATTATGAACAAATAAGCATACATTTCACTACAAACTTAGGGAAAACTCATCTATTATGCATAGATACATAATTAACTTTCTATAGTCATAGGAATTCTATCTGAAACTGAGGTTAGCTATCATTATACATGCATACTAGTAAAAATGAAAAAAAATTGGCATATTAGGTGCCAAAGTTTGAAAAAGATCTGATTCATTACACAATATAGAAATGGCAGTTTAAATTGGCAAAACCATGTTTTTTTGAACGAATTTGCTGTTGCTCAGGTATTATTCCCTTATTTGATGAGCCGGAAAGTCCATAATTAGAAATATAGTCAAAAGTCACTGATATATATCAGAAATTAAACACAAGATCTAAGCTCTTTAGAAAACAGAGGAAAAAATGCATTAGTAAATATTTGAGTGCTCATAAACAGGAAGTCCCTGCACTCCTGCATCCCCAGTCATAGTGATTACTAAGTACATCCACATGAAGTACGACTTTTAACTTAATCACAAGAAGGAATACTTGCCTTACTAAGTTTTTCGAGTGTATTACAGTAAACTGATGAAATTAATAAAAACCATGTAATAACAAGTGGATGTTATGTACTTCTATGCTAGAGGACAGGATGCAAGCTTTAGGAATAGCATGGACATGTGCTTGTTAGTGTTCTATCACTTTCCATGCTTATCATGATGACAGTGAACCAAAGAATGCAATTAATCCAGTAGTGTGGGACCAAGTGGGAATCAAAGGTCAGCACAGGTGCAAAGTTTTGAGACTAGGGGATGAGAAAAAAAGAGTGACAGGAAACATCTCACAACATAGTGAACCTGAACAGGCATTGCGGAGGAATCCAGAAGGTGATGGAGGTGGTGATTTTTACCACTGATGCTACTTCTGTTTAGTATTAAAAAATGCACGTGTAAATCTCTTTTTATTCCACATTACATATTTCTGGGAACCACATTCTTTAAATAAATACTTTAAACTGAGTCAGTTACTATACACTAACCTGACCTATCTGAAAAAATATTCAGCATTGTAGAGACTGTCTTCTTTCACACTACATCTATCTCTATGAGACCTCAAGAGGAAAAAACAAAACTAAACAAAAAAAAAAAAAAAAAAAAAAACTCACACCGATCTTTTGGATGATCCATTAGCTTCGGGGACTAACCTTTGGAAGGCCACAGTCGCATTGCTCAGATGCTTCCAAAATGCCATTGCCACAAATTGAAGCTTTTCCTTGGTAAGTCACTTTTGGAACTTTTTCATTCTGAAGACATTCCAATGCAGGCTGTGACACAGACTTTTTAAAATCTTCCGTGCTGCAACTGCTAAAAAACTTCAGACCACTGGATTGTCTAAAATTAAATTACATTCCTCAGACAAATGAAACACATATCAACATTAGAGTAACACTGTCCAAAGACATGTTGTGACTTTTGAATTACTTCACTTGGATAAAAAACAAGGAAAATCACAAGTTGCTCTGAATATGAGTTGCAAATACATTCCACTGGTTCATATACAGTGTAACTTGTTACAATACGCCTAGAAAGCAAAAGCTAAGGCAGAAGACACTCAATGCTTGCAGCACAACAAGCTCTAGTTGAGTGCATTATGCTATTGCCAACAAAATTATTATTACCTGAAGCCCAGACAATTACTAAGAAAATGGAGCTTATTGGGAGATTTAGAGGGAAAAAAATTAAGGAATAAAGAAATGATGGCTAATTATGTCAATGATAATTTGGAACTACCTGCTTTATGGTAGGAAACAAATCCAATAAAATAGTCCAACACTGAGGAACAGTATATGCTCCACAGTATATTTTTATAACTTATTTTGCTTCTTGTTTTTCCATATTTTAAGTAAATTGTTTAACGAATTCCTCATAAGTTGATAATAATCTTTAACTCAAAGCAAATTTAGTCTAAAAATGTTCTTTTTGGAATTGCTGTGTCGCGGACATTGCAATTTATAACTCTAAATAGCTTTTTGTATGCTTGTGTAAAAATAATTCATCTACATAAACACATTAGTTCTTCCAAAATTAAAATATGAAAATTCATTTCTGTTATGTTTTCCTCAAGTATCTTTCAAATTTCCCTAAACTTAATGGTATGACCCTTTATAGCAATAAAATCCAAATGAAAATGAATGCATGATTCTAGTTATAACTCATAGTCTACTAGCCTGAGTTCCTTAATTCAACTTAGCTCATTGTAAAAGTTTTGCAACTGCTGGATAATTGCTTTATAGAATTTCCATAAATGTGTGCTTACTAAAATGTGTTCACATTGTAAGCCTGAAGTTAGGAGTTTTTGCAATGGTGTCACAGGATTATTCTTCCAATGCTCTTTTGGTATCAGAAAAGTTCCACAGGATTTTAACGTTTGGAATGTAATGAAAAAGTCACTTTCATAGGAATGTGTCTGCTAGTCTTCATTATTACTTCCAAGTATGCAAACACAGGTTTCTTAATCACTTCTTTGACAAAGGTAGTCTTCATTGTTAAATAATGTGCATGTCCTTATTTCACAGTGGGCCAGATCAGAGTGTGAGTTCAGGGCCTGGCTTTCTACTTCCAAAACAAACTCATGCCAATTCGCCTTGGGGGTAACAGCTTCACTCTGCCCATCACTGGGGAAACGCAGGTGGAGATCCGTTTATTTTTCACATTAGGATTGTCTCAGATGTATGTCAAATTGAGTTTTACACTCTTTACACCACAACGACCAAAGCTCTAAGATGTCTGATGCTTTATTATGTTTCATTTCATTTCATTTCCTACCACACAGCTACTTATTTCACACAGGTCTTTTTCTGGGTAGCTGATAGGTCACATCTATTGATATTTTTGTATGTATTTTTTTATACCATGGGAGGAAACTAGTGGATTTTGTTTCATTTTACTTTCCTATATTTCTGTTTAAGTATTTGGAAAAATTAAAATACTGTATTGATGTATTTGCCATGTGATTTTGATTTCTCCCTGGCTTGTTCCTGAAAATTTATCTATTTATTAGAAAGGCACATTTACACAGAGAAAGAGAGGTTTGAACAGAGTGAGACAGACAACACAGATTCATGCATTTGGGCCATCTTGCGCTGTTTCATCAGCCTCATTCAGAGAGAGCTGGATTACAAGTGCACTGGTTGGTACTGGAACGTGTGTTGATATGGGATGCTGGTATTGATGGTGGTAGACTAACGGACTGCACTAGAATGGTTGGCTCTCTCCTTTACTCTTACGCACATTTGGCGTTAAACAAGACTCCACAACATTCCCTTGGTGCTTCTTTTAAATTGGGGTCTGTTTTATGCTTCAGGATGGCAAAAAACCAATCGTTGTGACTATGTTTCTATTCATTCATGGTTTGCAAGATCCTCTCTTTTCTCCCTCCTTGCTCTTCCTCTCTTTCTCTCACATACACACACGGAAAGATACATATGCACACATACAAATAAATCATAACTGATATATTTCAGAGAGATAGAATGGATAGGGAAATAAAAAGGGAGAGAGAGAAACATTGAGCACTCTTCCATGCACTCGTTTATATCCCAAATAGCACTGGCAAGAGTTAGGCCCAGCCAGAACTAGAGGCCAGGAGTTTCTTCTGCATCTCCCAAGCAGGTAAAGTAGCCCAGTTACTTGTGCCATCTTCCATTGCTGTCTGAGAAACACCAGCAGGGAGATGGAAAAGTAGTGGAGATGGGATTGGACCCAGATGAAGAGATGGAGAGAGCTCTTCAACCCGCTGGTTCACTCCAGAATATCCACAATGACTGAGACTGAGACAGGACTAAAAAGGAGCCAGGAGCTTCATCTGGGTTTTACACATGGATACTGGGAATCAACGACTTGAACCATCCCTTTACTTTCCCAGGCACAATAGCAGGGATCTAACTTGAAAGTTGAGCAACTGCTCTCAAATTTGCATCCATATTGGATATTAATATCACAGGCACAGGTTTTTCACTGTGTTACAAGGCCAGTGCCAGTTTGTTTATGTTATTTCTTAGCCTTATTATTTAGATCTCCTATTCTCTGAGAACTATATGTATATATGTGTGTGTGCGTGTGTGTCTGTGTGTATGTGTATATATATATATATAAACAGACTTAACAATTCTGACTCAGCCTATTCAGATTTAACCTATACAAACTGCACCTAAGGCCCCCACATAAGTTACCCCTTTCTCAAAATACTGATGTCTTAAAATACCTGCTAGTAACTTAAGATGTCCCATACCCCACAAAAAGTTCTTTGACAACTCCCACTCCTGTGAACCTTAATACTTTAGGTTAGTATGAAAAGCAGTAGGTTTGAAGCAGTCCCTTTGATTCATGTTACCTTAACCTGCTAGATGAACTTACATCATCCTCGCTTCATAGCTCGGCTAGAATGGCTTTTACTATATCTATCCTAAAACCCTTACCCTGCATTGTAAATGCAGGAGCAGACCCTTTCCTGGACTTCTATGATTCAGGCTTCTTCAGCCTTGTGGTGTTTCATGTCCTTTCCCCTGTGCCTAAAAATAAATTCTTCACAGTCCCAACCATTTTTGTGTTTTTGGTTCACTCACCCGCAAATCTCCATATTCCAGGTATGTGGGATTTGCAAAATTCATATTATCCCAGTATCTCTTCAGTGTTTACTCTGAACAGTTCTTCAACATCTTTAACAAGATTGCAGTAAGTTTTCAAAGTTCGACATCACCATGCACTTCCTTCACACAATGGCATCAATATTGAACATACATTCTAATATATCCTATAGTCATTGTCTTTAATAACTCTAAGTGCTTATTATTTCTATTCATACTCAATGTATGTGGTAAGAGATTGCACATCAAGGGGTAGTAAATGTATTCTCAAAAGAAGAAATAATTTTTTTTTTCTCAAAAAACAAATAAACACCTTACATGGCACTAGGATTCATTATGCAAACAGTTCCTGGGCAGTAACAATTGGAGACGTCATCATAGTTTAATCCCAGATTAATTCCAAGCAATTGTACCACAACAACTGAAAATGCCTCCAACGTTATCATCTTTGGATACTAAAGAGAAAAAAACACAGAATCATTGCCTAAGTCACAGTCTCAATTCCTTGATCTTAGCAGATTTGGGGTTCATATTGATCAAATGCAAACTTAAGGAATAGATTTATGAAATCCAAGTATTTTCTTAAGAATCTGGAAGACTTAAAGTTAACTACATATGTTAGTATTCTTTTTGAATAACCCTACTTTTCCATCCAAATAGCATTATCACATTTTTAAAAATATTGTATTTTTGTGACGTTCAAACATTTTGTTAATTTAAATCCAGCAAAGACCAACAATAATTTTGACAAAAATGAGAATTATTTCAGTAACACTATTATTTCTATCGAGAGAACATAGAAAACTATACAGATTCTGAATAGTTTAATCAGAAATCAAAAAAAAGAAGAGATGATATGTGAGAAATGTTAAGAATTATTGAACCTAGATCAATGATAAATATTCTAAAAAGCGATCATTTGAATCATCAAGTAAATTTCCTTCTCACAATATATGTCCATTAAAAGAAATTTTTTCTCCAAACGTTTACATAGCAATGAACTTTATGCCTGTCTCATAGGTTCTTATTTCCAACATAATGAAGTTAAAATAATAGCTTCTCATGTTAGATTCTATTACACAATGGGATATTTGCGCAGTGATTTGAAAACAGCCACTAACACATAGAGACAAACCTTAGAAATCTTTTGATTGCATTAACCAGTATACCTGATTTACAAAAAAAATTAAAGAAGTCCTTAAATTTGAAAAGAAAGTACACTAGATCACAGTACTAAGCCATATGAAAATTGCTATGCCCTCAGGGATGGGAATTCTGATACCACAGCTTAAATAAGCATTTGAGATCCCTAATTCCAAGGTGAAGAGCCTGTTTTGATACCAGGATGCAGTGCATGGGGAAGAAAAGAGAAGACTCCCAAGTACTCAGGTTTCTAAAATTCGTGTGGAAGAACTGGATGGCATTTCTGCCTACTGATCTGGCCTCGTCTGTCCCTTAGTTCTGTAGGCATTTGGTGAGCAAAGCAGTTAATGCAAACTCTCGCTTATGTCTCCCCTTTTGTCATTCTGTCCTTCAAGATAAACAAGTAAAATCGGGAAAAAAAAGTCATTTATAAAATTCTCTGATAAATTTAGATACAAAAGAGTATTTCTTAAACTTCATTGAAAACATAATTAAAAGATGTTTATTTTGGTGCCAAGTAATTTCGAAATTCATGCACAGCATTTTCATAATGTATATTCTGGTACAAAAATTAATATCCATTCATAAGCAATTTATTTAAAATTTTGTATATAAGATCACTTTCTTATAGGATGTAAAATTACTAAATCCCATGAAATGAGTATTCTGTATAAAAACATGCAATTTGTGACATCAAGGACATGAAAAAAGTTGTTTGATACAGTGGAGGTTTTTATGTAATTGAAGTTAAGTCATTTTAAAATAGGATTCAATTTTATGAGGTTTTCTACAACTGCCTGCACAGCTACATACAAAAAAAAAATGCCATGGCATACACCCAGAAGAAAAATATAAGAAAGTATCTTAAAAAACAGATCCCCAAGTCACATAAGAAACAGAAGAAAAGAGGGACAACAATTCTATAATGTATACACCAAGAAAAAAAAATAGGGGATGATTCTTCCTTATCTATCAAAAATTACCTAAATGTAAAGTAAATTTGGAAATTAAAGGGACAGGAAAGCTATATGAATGTAAAAAATAAAATTAAAGTGTATGTTATCATAAAGTAATCCCTTTGGATCTAAAGACAAAAACTGCTTAAAAGAGTACAGGAGTACAATAACTTTGGCATGCAAACAGTGAGAGAGAACCATGGTAACTACAGTAAATATCAGACAAAACGCATCCTAAATAAAAGTCTAAGTCACAATGAATGGTTATCATATGAGGGGAAATGATATTCAATAAACTGTGTGAGCTGTCTAAATTGTGTATAAGTCTTCAGAAAGTTGTAGTGATGAAGAAATCATGAAAAGATTAAAAAGAGTACCAGATACAATAGTAGGATGAGATTTCAATTAGGACATCTCAAAGACCAGCACATCCACCTATAAGACAGATGCACAAACGTGGACCTTGAGCAAAAAGAGCCCAATTCAACAAGAATGCATTCATACAACAAGCTACTCACCAACAGCACATACACAAAACTGTCAACGACTACAAAACATTCACTGCTGGTAAACACTTCATAGTGATTACATACTGAAATTACACATACCAAAAAAAAAAAATCCTTTACTAATCCCATTGAAATAAAACTGGAAGCAAATCAGAGGGAATTGTATACTAACAAAAATTCAAACACATTCTTAGACAACCCAACAATTAAAATGTAGTAATGACAACACATGCGTACATAAAGTGAAACATTAATGCAATGATAAAACTTGATGAATACGGTAAATTCTCCCATCTTTTAATTTCTTTATTTTTTCAATGTTTTGTACTTTCATCGCAGAGATCATCCATGTCTTTGATTAGGTTTATTACTAGGTTTTTAAAATTCTTCTCCACTATTTTAAAGGACCTGTGCTTACAAATTCTTTCTCTGCCATTGAGTTATCTGTATATAATAGCTCCACTGACACATGTTCATTTATTTTGTGCCCTGATAACTTGCTGAACTCTCTTATGAGTTTTGTTGATTTTTTTGGTCCTCCTATGTATAGAATCACGTCATCTGTGAACAGGGATCATTTTAATTCCTCATTTTCAATTTTATTTCCTTTAATTTCAGTTTCTTTCCCAATAGCTCAAGTGAGGACTGCCAATACTATGTTGAATAGCACTGGTGAAAGTGAACATGCTTGTCTAGTTCCAGACTTTAGTGAAAAAGCTTTTTTATATATAAGATTTACTCATTTTTATTTGAAAGGCAGATATACAAAGAGAAGGAGAGATGAGAGGAAGATCTTCTGTTTGCTGATTCACCCCCTAAGTGACCGCAGTGGTCAGAGCTGGGCTGATCTGAAGCCAGGAGCCAAAAAAATTTTTTTCAGGTCTCCAACGTAGGTGCAGGGTCCCAAGGCTTTGGGCTGTCCTCCACTGCTTTCCCAGTCCACAAGCAGGGAGCTGGATGGGAAGGGGAGTCACTGGGACACGAACAGAGCTCATGTGGGATCCTGGCATGTGCAAGGTGAGTATGATAGCCATTAGCCTACCATGCTGAGCCCAGTGGGAAAGCTTCTAATATTTTCCCATTATGTATGATGTTGGCTTTGAATTTTTCATATTTCACATTTATTGTGTTGTAGAATGTTCCTTCTTTGCCTATCTTAGGGTTTTTAGCATGAAGTGATGTTGGATTTTATCAAATGCCTTCTCTGCATCTATTGAGTTTTACATATGGTTTCTATTCATCAGTTTGCCAATGCAGTGTATCACATTTATTGTCTTGTACAGGTAAAAACAGATCGGAATGCCAGGAATAAATCCAAGCTAGCCTGGGTAAACGATCTGTCTGTGTTTTTGGATTCTGCCAGCTAACGTTCGTTGAACTTTTTGTGCCTGGAGTGCTCTTTGTTGTACTTCTAGTTCTGTTATTAAGGTGACTTTGGTTTTATGGAAAGTGTTTGGAAGGGTTACCTGCCTTTCCACTGTGTTGGTGAAATAAGACAGTCAGTCACAGACACAAATATTGCATAACTCCACTTATATGTGGAATCTGAATGCATGAAACTGAGGAACCATAAGGTAGAATTATGATTACCAGTGACAAAAATGGTGGTGTTAGTGTTGAATTTCTCTCTTACAAGAAGGAAAGCATATGGAGATTTCTTTTTTCACTGTTGGGCACTTAAAATGATAAACTGGTTTTCCTGTTTTGTGCTTTTCCAAAAATACCAAATACCTTAAAATTGATAATATCTGATTATCAAAACCAAAAAGAAACATTACATCAACATTTGACAAAGTGTTATGGCAGGTGCACTCTAAGTACTTTGTTGATATCAATATTAAATGTCTAAATCTGCTTATGGTTATTTAATTAACAGGAATAAATGCATACCAGAACAACTCCTATAGCAAAGTTTGCATCGCATGCCGTTCCATAATATGTTGTTCCCACAAAGTCAGCTTGGTCTGTATAACTAAAGAATAGAATTTTTTTCTGTGATTTTAAGCATTGGAATTTTAAATTAGCAATATTTAGAAACTAGATAATGCAAGAATATTATGCTTTCTTTAAAAACATGTTCAAGAGCACCATATCAGATACTTTCCATCATTGATTACTAGAGTCACAGCCCTCAGTTGACATAGAATTAACATTATGTAATGACACAAAGCCCCAAGCATTGTGGTGCCTATCATGCTCGTCCCACTACTTGAAAGATCAATGTTGTCCTCGGGGGTGAGCATGGTTCTGCACCCAGACTATTAATTGCCATGATTTGCACATAGGGAATAAACCTTAATAATGTGCTAGAAATATTATTGGAGGAGAGGGACAAGAAAGAATAATACATGAAGCAGACACACTAAGAAAGAAAGGATTTACAAAGTGCGGATACTCATTGGAGTCCTCATCGTTGCTCTAGAACTAGCTCCTACCTGATTCTACTTCGATTCTGCTTGAGACATCCATGGATAGATTTATAAATTGATTCCATAATTCTGAAGATGGTTATTTCACATTTTGTTTCAGAATAAAAAATTAAACAAGGAAAACAAAAAATCTAGAAATGAAATCTTGAAAAACCACAAATGGGAGAGTAGTTCCATCTCTGGTCAGAGTGAACATAACACAGGGTAACCTGGCTATGAGCAAGGGGAGGTGGTCCATTTCAGTACTTCCTTCTATAACGTTTTCTGCTGCGACAGTAGGTTGTGCAAGGGCTGTGCACTAGGGAATAACTCACACTGTATCTACTGCTGAAATGATATTCATTTCCTCCTGAGAAGACTCACAACCAGAGAGGGCCCTTGACTGCCTGCAGACTTTACACCTTCTTTAAGTAGTCTACTCTGACAACGATGGGCTACTACGGTTTAAAGAGTGTCTCAAGTGGTTATCAGATTACGTTTCTCTGTCTTCCCAAAAAACTGTTCAAATAACTTTACATTATCATTAATCCAAAAAAATCGCATATATTTTGATAAATGACATAAAAAACAAATTGATAAACTTTGCCAATGTGAATAAAGTGCTTACATTAATAAATAGGATATTTCATTGGGTCTTTTCAGTGGATCTTTTTTTTCCCATGACAGAAATCTTTGCAGTATTTCCTCAGCATCTCCATTTGTTGAAATTTTATTTTTGTCTGACCAGAGTCCCAGAGAGGACAGCATAATGGTTATTTTAAACTGAGAAAACATCTGGAATGCAGATAAGTGATATGCACATTTTGGTTGCCATAAGCATACATTAATATCCCCATAGCTGAGTGTAATACATTTAGTTCATTATTATTTGGAAATGAAATAGCACTCAGAATTACATTTTAATAAAAATTTAAATGCAATGTATGCAATCATTTCATTATATACAACCATTTTAAACATAAATATGAAACATAAATACTTACAGAATTAACAAGAGCTAAGATGAAAACAACCTTTTCAGCTGCCAGTTCCGATTCAGAGCCCATGAAATCATACTGGAAGACAAATATTTGTTTCTTACTCATTAGATAACATGACTATCACACTTGAAAAGGCCCTAAGTATATGGTAAAATATTGGCAAAACCAAAAATAGAATTAAAATGTTAAAAATGATTGTTTGACTTCAGGCATAATTCTAAAAGTTAATGGTTCTATTTAAAATATTTAATATATAATATGATATAATATATAATATATTTAACATTTACTATATTTAAGATTATATAAGTCAATATATGTATATATGTATAACTATATACTTTTAAATCATAATGGATAATAATATAGAAATATTTATATTCATATAATATAACCATAAAATTGATATTTAACTCATAAACTGTATTAAACTGAGATGGAATGATCATTTTCTTCATTACAAATAAATATAAATAACTTAAGGCTTAATGCTCAAAGATTTCAAGAGGGCATAGTTCATAAAAATATGTACCATGACTCAAGCTTTTGTAGCTATACCTTTCATCCTATTTGTCTACTACAATATGCTGTCATAATTTGCCTCTGCCCTAATAGTACCAAATGACTTTATATCCTCAAAAAATGAATATTGTAAGCAGAGAGCAGTGAGGTTAAAACTGGTGAAAACTTTTACAAGTGCATCCTCATTATAGGATGTGAAAATCACGATGTTTTCTGCATAATATGACCCCTCATCTTTTCTGCACGCACACTTCTCAGTTTCCTAGACACCTTAGAAATTGGCAACATGATCCTCAACAGTATCCAGCAGAATGCATAGAGCTCCACTCTGATCAGTGAAAAGGATCTGCACAGACGATGTTGCATGTCACTCTTCTGTCTTTGATTCTTGCTAATAGACTGTTACACCTTGAGATGACTGAAGGTGACCTTGTGTAAGTCCAAGCATAGAAAAGGATGACAGCAAAAACCATGATTACAAAAAGTCACAAAATGTCAACAGAGCAAATCCTAAGTAAATTGCAAAGCAAGTTTAAAATCTGCAATATACACAACTCTGTGGGTAGAACCTGTGTGTGTGTGTGTGTGTGTGTGTGTGCCTTTGTTTCTCCTTTGCAAATAATCAGTTTACAAAAGAAGAAAGGATAAATTTGTATCTTTTGTTGTCAGGAAAACCCAACACTGTTTCTTATAACACTGTTTTATTGATTGATTTATGCAGCAATTACTTCGGCAACAATAATCTTGAAAGCAAAATAATGGACATGATTATCATAACAGGTCATAAAATGCAGCTTATCAGAAAAATAACAAAAATCACAACTTATTCCAACCTTACAATAGAGCAATCAAGTGTATTAATAGAGTGACTCCAGAGCATTGCACCAACAGGAAATTAATAAGGTGCTTCTGACGGCCATGTGAGCCACACAATTTACACAGCGGTTGCTTCTGCAATTCTTGCAGCTCCTGGAGCCACAAGCAATAGAAAGATTAAGCAGACAACAGTTTGTCCACAACATAGGATGATGGGGGAAGAGAGAGGAGACGCAGTTGGTGCCAGCTGCATAGGCTACAGCAAGACTGCAGCACAAGACCCCGAGATGGAAATTCACTGGAGGGAGTGGCACTGGTGCCACAGATGGAGACTCAGGCACTGGGTAGGTCCAGTAAAGACCATCTGCACACCTGTGATGTCACAGCTTAAACACAGCATCAGTCAGAGGAGACGGTTCTGTGCATTTGGATTGTAAATCCAAGGGTAAAAGAAGAAGAGGGACAGGCACCTTGAATCCACCACAATGGATTAAATCACTCTCAAAACTAGCTAATGACAACCCTGAGCAACTGCCAGATAAAGATTTTAAGAAAAGTTACAGAGCCCTTTAAAAGCAGCAAGAAGATACAGGACTTCAAGGCACTTAAGGAACACATTAGACAGGGTATAAAATCATTGAAACAAAGTCAAACTGGAATATTAGAAATGAACACTGTTTTATGACTGAGTCAGAAGACAAAAATTTAGAGCTAGAAAACAATGCATTTGAAAATGCCCAGTCAGAAATTTGTAAGAGCAACTGACTGACGATAAGAAAACCATCCAAGCATGAAGGGACACCATCAAAAGGCCCAACATGTGACATAGGCGTTCCTGAAAAAACTGCTTTGAAAGATATATTCAATCAAATTCTGAACAAGAACTTCCCGGACATGGAAAAAGAAAGGAGAATTCAAATTCAGGATGGACAGAAAGTCTCAAAGACCCGCTACCAGAGCCCATCCTTACCATGGCACATTGTAAGCAAGCTCTTTTTAGTTGACATAAAGAAAAGAGTTACACACGCACACAAGAGTCGCCAGATAACTTCTATGGGAGCACCATTTAGACTCATGCCTGGATTCTCAGAGGAAACCCTATAGGTCCGAAGAGAATGAAGTGATGTATTCCAGATCCTCAAAGGAAAAGAAAAACCAAACCAAAAAATCCTACTCATCATTTACAATTCAATAATTCGCATTAAATAATTAAATCTGAAATTCACACCTAGGGACACAAGTCTGAAATGAAGATGTATTCGAATAATTGAAAATTGTTCAGAATTTTGTACATGTGCAAAACATGTAACACATGATTGTTTAATTTCTTTAACAATTTCTTTTTGCAAAATAAAAAGTAATTATTTTGTGCTGTATGAACTTGGGATATAAAATATCACAAAATTACAGCTATCTGATTGGAGTTAAGTGGGATAAAATCTGAAAATTAGTTCTTACTTTTTTTCTCTGGTAGTCTGTCTTCCCAAGCACCATAAATGTCTTTAGAAAAGAATAAAGCTGGGCCCGGCGCGATGGTGCAGTGGTTAAGGTCCTCGCCTTGCACTCCCGGGATCCCATATGGGTGCCGGTTCTAATCCCGGCAGCCTCTCTTCCATCCAGCTCCTGGGGAGTGAATCATTGGACGGAAGATCTTCCTCTCTCTGTCTCTCCTCTCTGTATATCCAACTTTCCAATAAAAATAAATCTTAAAAAAAAAAAAGAATAAAGCTGTTCTATTATTCCTGCCACCTATCTGAAGAACCTACTTTCCAAAATCTTATTCACTGAATTAACTGATAATTTAATAAGTCTCATTAATAAGTCTCATTAATTTGATAAAATTGGAAATTCAAATTCACTTTAGTTGATTCAGTTGGAATAAGACTTTCACATTGGTGTGTAAATTTAAGAGTGACCGATTAGTCCAGTGGGAGGAAAGGAGAAGCACGGGTAAAGACCATGTGGGAGACGAAAGAACGCTGGTAAAAAACTATTTCTTAGGCCATGCACACAGCGTTTAATACTTTGATAAACTGAACTGTACTTAATCATAGTACTAATGATGATTCACAATTTTGAAATACAGGACTTCCACTGAGAAGTGACTCAACAAAATTATCTTATAAAATAAAATGCTTAATATTTTCCAGCTTAGTATCTGATGCAGTGGTAGATGTTAAGAGGGACCTAGATTAGACAAAGAGATTAGCGGAAAAGCAGGGACGATCCAGGCTACCTGTAGCCAGGTACTGTTGGTGAGATTTTAGTGTCGTGGGACCCTCCTTTACAATATTGTATGGTTTCTAGACATCTGTGCTCTTCTGCAAAACAAAACTTAAATACTGATCCCTTGTTCCGTGTAAGGGCCAAGGACAACACTTCCTGAAGAAATAATACACTAAGACATCTATTTTGAAAAGAATAATATGAAAATACTGACGATAGCTTCTTGTCCCTAATTTCCCACACATTAAACACAATGTAAATTCTACCAAAACATACTAATGTACCATACCATGGCTTTGTCCATAAAAATGCGTATTTTCAGAGTTCTATTCCGTAGCACAATGTCTGACATTTTCTGTGAAATATAACACACACGTTAAAGAAAACATTTAAGAATCTGTACCTTGTATTTTATCTTGTGTGATGTCAGAGTAGAGATGGAGATCCACACAGTCAGTCTCACTCACACTGATTCAGGCGCACTGATCAGCACTGATGCTGATATCCAAAATGGAAAAGGAAGTGTGTGCTCGCCAGAAGGGGCACAAGCAGCCAGAGTCCAAACAACAATGTGAAAACAGGAATTATTTCACGTTCTGTTTTTAATCTTTCGGAGCTTTAAAAGCTAGTGAAATTTAAGAAGTTGGTGATTATTTTTTTCCTTTTAACATTTTGTTTTCCTGGTAGGACACCCTCTTGGGCATCCCTCAAGCTAATCAAGTTTCTAGTAAGCTCTCCCCAGCTTCACTCCTATGCAATGTACTTTTAAAATGTATTTCTCAGAACCCTTGCCTTTATTACTGCTGAATTTTGTTCTTTTACTTGTTGGAACTTTTGTTTAATAAACTTTTTTGTTGTTTTTTTTTATTATAGTGCAACTCTTTAAATGAATGCTGTATCAAATTTTTAAAAATGAACACAAAATTTCTCCCAAATGCGGACTGTGTTTTCTCATTTAAAAAGATTTGCTGCATAATCAGCACAGTGGCCTGTTGTGGGCAGATGCCTCCTGCAGCACAGGCAACACATATCCGGCACTGCCTGGAGGCCTCTCGGCTGCCCTTGCACTGCAGCTCTACGCTGGCGCGTCTGGGAGGGCAGTGCAGCTTGGACCACATTGTTGGATCCTGGCAACAACATGAGAGACCCAGAACAAAGTCCTGGCTTTTGGTGTCGGCTCAGCTCAGACCTCTCCATTATGGCCATTTTTCAGGTCGAACCAGTAGATCAAAATCTTTTCTCTTTCTCCCTCTGTGTTCTGGCTTTCAAAATAAATGAAGCTTTATATAAAAGCCTTGTATATTAAATGACTTTTTTTTGATATCTTGATAGGCAGAGAGGGAAGGAGAGAGAGGGAGAGAGAAGAGACAGAGAGAGACAGAGAGAGACTGGCTGGTTGATTTTGTTGCGTTCCCATCCAGTGTCTTATTCACCAAATGGGGCTAACAGCCAGGCTTGCCCCAGGCTGAGGACAGGGGCAAGACACCTCCTTCTGGTCTCACAACAGTGGCAAGAGCCCTTTACTTGGGCCATTTTCTGCTGCCTTCCCTGGTGCATTAGCAGGGAGCTGGATCAGGAGTGGAGCAGCTAGCTCAAACTAGCACTCCCAGAGGCTTAATGTGCTGTGCCACAATGCCAGTACCATTCGTTGTTTCAATGATTTCACATTTTTAAGTGAAAGAAAACACTGTTCCTCAACACTGTAGACAAGAAGAAATAATCAAATCTTAAAATGATCAATTTCATGCATATACATTTCTTCTTTTTTGAATATTAGTAAAATGAGCACGCCCTCCCCCAAATCATATTTTTCCTGACATGTGGTAAACAATATGCGTTTACTTTGGATATTAACTTTTTGAGGTCCATTTTAAATTATTCTTTCCACATGTACATATACATATAGTTATATGATGTATATGCAATGGCTATACCCTTGAAACCACTGTCATGATTAAGATTCACAGCAGTTCCATAACTGGTTGTTAGAGCTCAGCAGCCCTCAAGGCTCAGGACAACTGGAACTATTTTCACCAGTGATTAAAATAATATGAGCTAGAAATTTCACACACATACATTCATACAGTACCTCTCTCTTTCATTTCTAACTTCTTTTCATTAGTCATTCACTTAAGTTATTAGAATTATTTATAGTTTGTCATAAATATTATTATCCTTTAAATACAGGTCACATTTTATGTAAATATATTCATCTGTGAGTGGATATTGGAATTTTTAAAGTATCATAGCAATTATAAATGAACTTTGAATATTAATATGCACATCTTTGTGCAGTTATCTAAGTTTTTATATTTGTTGGGAAATATTACAAATACCATACATAAGCTGCATGGTAATTATGAGTCTGTAAAGTCGTATGAAAAACCCTAATCACTTTCTAAGTGTACTGACCAATATGAATCCTCATTTGCAGTTAATATTCATTGTTACTTTTCAATATCCTTGTCCCTATTTGATATTATACACTCCAATTTTATCACTTCTTGCTGGCCTCTATTTCTCTCATTTAGTACTTTGAAAGTCCTTATATCAATGTTGACATATATCTACGTGTGTGTGTATGTGTGTGTGCAAACATGCAAACAACCACAAATGTCATTTATTTAACAGGCGAAACGGTACATATAGACAGAGGTAGACATCTTCATATGCTTTGTTTCTCAAATGCAAGCCCAGTACTGGGCTTGTCTAGATTGATGCTAGGTTCCGGGAAACCAGAAACATCACCTGGAACGTTCACATACTTGGCATGGACAAAAGTGCCTCAGCCATCATCTGCTACTTCCCACGGTACACAGCACACACAGTGAGCAGCTGAGGCAGAACCAATGCCCAGGCTCTCTGGTACGAGCCGCAAGGTGTCCCAAGCTCCTGAGTAACCCAATGTGCCATGTTCAATACTCACCTCTCCCTGAGGGTTCATTTGCATCTCTTTGCTGATGAATTATGTTGGTCATCAGCATTTCAGCACACCTTTGTTCATTAACTTGGATATTACTGTGATTCCTAAGACAAATTTTTTCAATTGAACAACTATCTTTTTTTTTCCAATTCTTTTTTATTATTGTTTTATGATACAGTTCCATCGGTTCTAGGATTTCCCATCCCCTTTCCCCAAGTCCCCTTCCCTCTATTGATTTCCCCATGGGTGCTTCTTCATAAACAGCCATAAATTCATCACATGACTGTTAAATTGCTTCCCGACATTGTAGGCATGGACAATGTCAGAGAGTCCAGCATCCTACATCAGGAGATTTTCAGCTGTTTCACTGGGAGTCCATCTTTGGTCTGGATGCATAGAAACATACTGCACTATGTCTGCACATCTGAACATGTCAGTTTCCATTACTCTTCTATCATACATACCCTTAAATACAGAGCCAGAAAACACAGTCCAAAATTGGAAGAAAAAACAAAAATTTTCATCAATATGAAGCTAAAAGGTTGCTAAAGAATTACCAATGTGTTGCTATAGTGATGAAAAGGAAAATCAAAATCTTTATTGTAGAAACTGATGCTCCTTCATGACCCATGTGGCACTGAAGAAATGACAATTAAAAACAAGAACATCATTACCCATGAGATGTAGCAAAAACAATGTTGGAAGGGACATTTACAATCTCAGGTATTAACAATCAAAAAGTCTCATATACGATCAATTCATGAATCACAGGACTTATTGAAAGGGATAAAAACGCCTAGAGAGTGCAAAAAGGTAAAATTCACAGAAAATCAATTTAAAAACTACATATTGAAGTAAGAAGGAGCCATTCCCTAAGAAGATGAGTAAAACAACCTCTAGCCGTATTGGTAATGACCATCACAAGGGGATGAACATGTAAAATTAGAAGAGTATTGGTTCCAACTCTTTGCTCCTTACACGAGTCATGACACTGTTGGCATGGGCAATGGTAAGGATTGTAACTTTTGCTGTCTAGGTATGTTTAGAAACTCCATTGGGAGTCCACCTTTATACCTCAGCAGATACGCCTTCTGTTTGTTTTCTTTGATTCTTGGTAGTCTGGTATCCATCACATCCTTCATTTGTGGAGTTACATGTGGCTGTTAATTCTCACTTTTTTGTTGTTTTGTATTTTTGGTGGAAGTTGTCTTACATTATTAACATTTGGTATCTGCCCTTTAGGGACTGGCTCATTAATATAATTGTCTCCAGTCAGGCCCATTTGTATGCACATGATAGCCTTTCATTTATAGCTGAGTGTTATTCCACAGACTAGAGGTATCTGAGTTTCTTTATCCAGTCCTCTTTCAATGGACATCTAAGTTGTTTTGAAGTTGATGGTGCTGCAGTAAAATATAGGGGTGAAAGTTTATTTTTCATGTATCAAATCCTTTGGATATAGTTCCAGGAGTGGGATTGCTGGATCATATGGTGGGTGAATTTTCAGTTGCTTGAGTATGCTCCATATCAACTTCCATAGTGGCTACACTAGCCTGCAATCCCACCAGCAGTGGAGTAGAGTTCCTTCCCCCCACATCTTCACCAGCAGGTGTTGGTGGTAGTTTTCTGTATGTGAGCCATTTTCACCAAAGTTAAGTGGAGCCTCAGTGCTGTTTTTATTTGTATTTCCCTTATTGCTAGGGAGCTTGAGCATTTTTAATATGTCTGCTAGCTTTTGGGTTTGTTCCTTTGAAAAATGACTGCGCATTTCCTTCACCCATTTCTTGACTGGTTTGTTTTGTTGTTATGGTTATTCTGGAGTTCTTTGTATACTTTGGATGTTAGCCCCCTGCCTATTGTATAGGGTATTATGATTTTTTCCCACTCTGTTGACTGTGTTTTTACTTTGTTGATTATTTCCTTTGCTGTGCAGAGGCTTCTTAGTTTGATGTAGTCACATATGTTTATTTTGGTCTTCACTGCCTTTGCTTTTGATGTTTCTTATTAATAAGTCCTTGCATGCACCTTTATCTTGTAGGGTATTTCCTAGGTTTTCTTAAAAGTTTGGTGGTTTCTGGGTGAAAGTTTATATCCTTTATCCACTTATTTGATATTTGTATATGGTGAGAGGTGGGGATCTTGTTTCTTGCCTCTGCAGGCTGCTATCAAATAATCCCAACAGCATTTTTGAATAGATCTTCTTTCTTCCCTGGGTTGTTTTCTGTTCTCTTGTCGAAAATTAGATGGATGTGCATGTGTGGACTCCCGTCTGATGTTTCTGTTCTGTTCTATTGGTCTTCCCTCTGTTCCTGTGCCAGTACCAGGCTACTTGGTTACTAAAACATGACCTAAGGTCTGGGATTGTGATTCCTCCAGCTAAGTTCTTCTTCTTCAATATAGTTCTGGCTATTCGTGATCTCTTGTGTTTACAG